TTCCCCCGGCCCCTTCCCCCGGCCCTTTTTCCGGCAAAACGCCCGCTGCGCCGGACACCCTGCTCCTTTGCTACCGCAACCTCGCCCACCGCGTAGCCCGCCGCTTTGCCCGCCGCCTCGCCCGCCGCCCGCCCCCTTGACGTCTCGTCCGACCGCTTGCTCAACGCGCATCACAACCACGAGCCAAGCCTGGACCTCACGCCCAACCTCGCCCCAAGCCTCACCCCGGTGGGCTCCTTCCGGGTGCTCCCTCCTCGCGGTGGCGGCTCCCTCCTCGCGCCCCCCTGCGGGTGGTGGGCGGCCGTGCCCGGGTCCGGCACCAGGGGCGCCACTGTGTGGCGGCTGCAGGTTCAGGTGCGATGCCGCCGGGAGGGCCGGCCGGGGCTCTGCCCTGCCTCCGCCTCTCCCCGGCGTCTCTCCCTCAACCCCCCCCCCCTCCCCAATTCTGAGCCATATCACCATATCAGAGACACACGTCCTCCCGGCGGCACACAGGTCTCCGCACGGGCCATCGCACCCGCGCCGCTCCTGCCCAAGCCGCACCCGCACCCTGAAGCCGCGGCCGGCGAGATGGAGCTACAGCTCCCTCTCGCCCACGCCGAGATCGCGCCGGTGACGCGGCCCGAGATCTACGCACTGCCCTATACCACACAGCACAGCCACTCTCGCCACCACTCACCGAACCCCTCGGAGCGGCCTTGCGACTCACCGTCTAGTCCTCACTGTCTCTCCCTCAGTCTACGGCCTCTGTGTCACTCTTGTGTGCCTCCTTACCAGGTGACCGACCCGCTGCTCGGCGAGCCGCTGCCGTCCCCGCCGCTGCTCGAGGTCTCGTCGAGCACCTCGTCGATGGACCTGCTGGACAGCATCGCCAGCCTGCTGTGAGCAAGCCTCCGCATGTGGGCGCTCCCCCGATGTACCGTTCACCGAGGAATTCCGACCGGGACGAGAGATGTGCTCTCCGTACTTCGAGATGCTCTCCGTACTTCGAGAAAGAGACTGACTGAGAGCTATAGCTCCGTTCGCGCTCGGGACACGTGGTCCTTCCTTGCATGTATCATTGAAACAAGACACGCGCTCACGCGCCTATACGCGGACCGTCATGCAGAACCAGAAGGGCGACATGTGTAGAGTACAAGCTTCGCCGGGTCTACGGCTCTCTAGTAAATGGATGGTGCATGGCGGCGCGCAGCGCCGCGAAGTGAAATGGTGCATGACCCTCACAAGACCAAGTGAAATCGCCAAACCACTAGGTAAATCATGAAACTCACAAGTGAAACGGTGCATGCCCAACTGCAGGCCACTGTGAACCCGCGAGCGCGGAGACCGGAGTGGGAAATGTGCACTATCAAACTATTAGCCTAATAACGTACCTAATTATTAGCATATACCTAATAACGCTGCTATTAAGCTAATAATTAGCTTATTTACACAATCAGTTTCGTGAAAAATGCTAATTATTAGATAGCAGCGTTATTAGGTATATGCTAATAATTAGGTACGTTATTAGGCTAATAGTTTGATAGTGTGGGGGGTGCATCTGGGATTCTGGGTGGGGGATGTCCTGTTGCGTGTTGCCCTTCGAGCGTGTAGATACACAAAGCATACTCTTAAGTACACAAGAGAGAGAGAGACGTACGTGTACAGAGAGAGAGAGAGAGTAGTACGTACACAATAAAAGCATACACACAGTACACACAAAACACAGTACGACGTGTCGACGTCCTCTCCGCCGAGCTGTGCGCGACATGAGCTTGATCGTGCGCGTGACCATGCTCGTCTTCCGGGCTCGTGAACGGCGTGGACTCGCCGCACACATTCCACAGCGACGACTTCCCCGCTTGAGGCTCGATGAAGTGCCAGACAGATGAAGCAGGACGGGTGGCGCTGCAGCATCAAGTCGAGCTCGCCAGGACTCGACGCTGATAGTGCCAAGTCAAACCCGTTGCATCCATGTGTGTAGCGCGTGCAGCCCGTAAGCCTTGCCGTCGGACCCCTCGATCGACCAGCGACACCTCTTGCGTGCTGCACGTGACCTTGCCGAGAGGGGGGGGAGGGAGGGAGGGAGGGAGGGAGGGAGGGAGGGAGGGAGGGAGGGAGGGAGGGAGAAGAGAGAGAAGAGAGAGAAGAGGGAGGGAGAGAGAGAGAGAGAGAGAGAGAGAGAGAGAGAGAGAGAGAGAGAGAGCGAGAGAGCGAGAGAGCGAAGAAAGAAAACAGACAACCCAAGGGAGGGATGGGAGGACGGCACGCCGCCACCACACAGGGATTTTAAGACGAGGGGTGTGGTGCGCTAGCCGTCGCCCACCCTTGGGCGTCTGCCTCTTCCTATCTCTCTTCGCAGTCTCTCTCCGATTCTCGCTGCAACCTTCATGCCACCTCGCGGTCTTCCCACTCTCGTCGTTCTCTCTCTTGTCGCTTCTTCCTCTGTCGCTTCGCTCCCCTCTGCCTCGTTCTGCGACGACGCCGCTGCCTGCCGATCCCTTGCTCTCGCCTCTCGGCGTAACTCTGCCCTCCTCGCGGCATATCCTGGCCCCTCGAGTTTATCGAGCTCTCCTCGCGCAAGGATGACTCTTCTGACGCCCACTGCGATCATTTGCTGCCAAGTCATATCGTTGCTCAGGTCCACTCTCTCTTCGGACACTTGTACCTCCACCCGATGATGTTGGCGCTGGGGTCCCCTTCGGGTGCATCGTTACAGCTGACGCCGGGATTACCACTGGGTCCTCCTCGAGATCGTCTTCCCCGGCTTCCTCCCGTTCGGCTCTACGACAGAGATTGCTTTTTTCTTGGTTTTGTTGACTTCTCTTCCCAGCACCCAGGTACCGCATCTCGGGCAGCGACCTGGTTAAATTCATGTGCAACGGCGTGGCGGCGGCTCTCTCGCCGGAGCGGCGCGAGGGCTTCTTCGAGTGCCTCGACTGCCTCGCGGCGGCGCCGTACCACATCTCGGGCAGCGACCTGGTTACATTTATGTGCAACAGCGTGGCGGCGGCTCTCTCGCCGGAGCGGCGCGATGGCTTTTTTGCGGAGCTCAGCGTTCTGATGGGCGCGAGCGCGACGCGGCTACCAACGCAGAAGGAGGTCCGCGCGCTCTGCAGGCGTGTGATGTTGCAACATCCCGCCATCATGGTGAAATTGGTGAAGAGAGACGGCGAGTGGAGAGTGCTGGCATAGGTCACAGGCGAACGAATTAATATTCGTGCACAGGCAGGAGCTCTCCTGCTAGACAAGAGTACCTTTACGTTTTGACCGCGCAAGATAAAAGGGTGGCTAAGGGCTCTGCCCGCAAGGCGCCCGCGTCGCAGACGCGGTACCATTGACAAATCTGCGATATTACCCCCACACGAGCAAATAGCAAAATCCGAATACCGTGCACGAACTGCGTGATCTGGGACGCAAGCCTTCAGCTGGTGCCAAGACATCGTAAAATTGAGCCAAGAACGTCCGCCAAATCCGTGCTTTCGGAGCAACTGAGGGAAAGCTACTGATGGAGCCCAGCGTGCGCGCGGCCGCCTCCCGCGCAGCACCGCCGCTGCGGAATCGGATCGAGCCCATGGAGGAGGAGGGCGCAGTCGGCCAGCGCAGCAGGCGGAGTCCCTCCCCGCGCCGGAGCCCCCCTGCAGTCGAGGGAGTCCTCGTTGGCGATGAAGGTGGCGACATCGAATCGCGGCCGACACACGTCACGGGAGGAATGGGCGATGAGCGGGAACGATGCGCGCTACGACGCCGACTCCGCCGTGCTCGTGGCCGCAGAAAGCCGCGCTCCAGGAGCACGCCAAGATGCAATGGCTCGCTTGCTTCGATTCAGCTCTCTCGGCAGCAGAAGTGGGGCTGGAGCGGGTGGGGGTGGATGCCGATTGAGGGGGAGCGTCTCCAGCTGCGCCCTGTGGCAGCTGCGCCCTGTGGCAGCTAGTCGGGGGACTTGGTAGTTGTGACCCCCCTGAGTGAGGACAGGAGAGAGAGAGCGTTTTGTGGTGTTGGTGTACGCAATAACGGGACAGGGTGGTTGTTCTCTCTATCTCCTCTTCTAGCTCTTAGCATGAGCTGCGCCCTGTGTCCGACCCCTTTTGCGCAGCAACACCTTCAACTTTCAGGCCCTCCAAATTCGGGTCGGAGCGTAGCGGAGTGGGCCCCGAGTTTGAAAAGGGCGACGGACGCTTGCGTCCTAGCCTTCAACAACGCCTCCCCGGCGCAGAGGGGCCCCCGGAGGGATGCACAACCGCTCCACGCCACGCCGCTTGCGGCGGTCCTCTTCCCAGCTCCGCTGAGGGCGCCTGCGTTATCTCTGGCTAGTTCCATTTCACGGCGGCACAGCGGCGCGGCTAGAGCTGACAGAGCGCAGCACTACTTTTGCCACCATGGTGCCACTCCTCCTCGGCGTCGCCGCAACCGGCCTTCGCGCTACACGCCATGCTGCGCCGCAGCGCCGTGGGTTCCGGAGGACGCCTCCTGCTCTGATGCCGGAAGGCCCAGAGTGCCTAGTTCATGCGGAGAGCCTGCACCGCCGCTTTGCAGGGCGCACCCTCTCCCGTGCGGCCATCCTGAGCGGCCGCTACGCCGGCAACAGCTCGATGCCCGGCCGTGGTGCGCCTCCGGCCGGCTGGGCGGAGTTGCGTGGCAGCTTGCCTGCTGTAGTGGGCGCTGTTCGGGCAAAGGGCAAGTTCATCTGGTGGGAGCTCAGCCCGCTCTCGGGCGCGCTGCCCGAGCTCACCCTCTGGTCGACGCTGGGCATGTCCGGGGCGTGGTCCACCGGTCGCAACACGCACTCGCGCGTGTGCCTGGAGCTCGCCGCTGAACCAGCCGCCGTTGCGCCGACGCTGCTATTCTACAACGACCAGCGCAACTTCGGAGTGCTGACGGTCTGCACTGAGCACGCCGCGCTGCGCGCCAAGCTCGAGACGCTCGGGCCGAGCTGGCTCGACGAGGGCGGCGGGATCACGAGGGACGGCTTCATGGAGATCGTGCGGCGGCAATGCAGCAGCCGCCGCCGCGCCGCCGTTCCGGTGGCCAAGTTCCTGATGGACCAGTCCAAGACGGCCGGCATCGGCAACTATGTCCTGAGCGAGGTAGCCCTCCCCCGGGGCCCGAGCCAGCACTCGACGACGGCACAGCCACGGTGCCACTCGCGTTGGTGCTGTCTTGCCCAGCTCACGGACTGTGTCAGCCCGCCGCAGGTGCTCTACAAGGCTCGCGTCTACCCGTGGGCGGCGTGTGCCGACCTGGTCGACTCGGACTGGGCAGAGGTGCACGCGGCGGCCTCGCAGACGCTGCGCGCGAGCTACGCGTCGCAGGTCCACCCGCGACCTCACTAGTGCCGCCCACTCGCAACGCTGTCCACCTCACGTCCTCACAAGCACATGCTGTAACTCCCTCGCCTCGCAGGCCGCCATTGCGGCTGCCGCCGCCGGCGACGACCCCTCCGCCACCCGCGGCACGTTTGCGGCGATGGAGCCGCGGTTCAAACTGCTCGTGTACCGGCAGGCGGCGACCGCGGATGGGCTCGCCGTGCGCGTCGCTGAAGGTCCGCACGGCCGATCGGTGCATTGGGTGCCTGAGCGGCAGGTCCGCGGCAGCACAGTGGTTGTTGGGTCGGCGATAGGGGAAAGGGATAGCAGCCAGCGTGGAGAGGACCAGCGAACGTAAAAATGAATAAATGCTCGTTTAAAATTGGATAACCGAATGCACCCCACACTGTCGCTTTTACGATTTACCAAGGACCGCGGCACGCCCCCCGGCCCCCGCCCCCTTGGGTGTTTGTTGGGAGGTTCCGCCAAGGAGGGAGGTTCGTGTCATGAGAGAAGATACACTCCTCCGTGTATCTAAACGGACGGAAGATACACTGAAGAACACTTATGCGAAGATACACGGCCCGGCCCAAACAAAGAGGTGTATCTTCGTATGAAGATACACCGCGGCCCAAACGAAGATGTGTATCTTCAAGATACACCGGAGAAATGTTATAATGTTGTATCTTTGAAACGTATAGTCGAGTGTATCTTTGGCTATCACTCGAACTTTGGACAAGGGAATGGCCCAAATCGGGGGGCGTGCCCGTCCTTGTCGCTTACGCCCCTACGCCGGAGAGATAAACCCCCACGATAAGACTGCGCGACGCTGCGGATCAGCCCCAGTGCCCCTCCCAACCGTATAAAGGCTGCGGTGATTGATAGTATACACAGGTCGACGCTCGACACCCACCATGGCTCCGCATGTTGCTGGTGACGTGCAGTGACCAGTGTCGTGACGGGGTGGTCACGGCAGGGGCCACCGCTCGCGCACACGTCGAAGGCGCGACCTGAGAGGAAGGGAACATTACTGGGCTGTTTTTAGGCATTGTGGGGTTGGCACTCCCATCGACCCTCATGACCTCCTGCGGTCTCTGAGATGGACACCAGTGGGTGTGGGACCACAGCCAGGATACACTCGAAGGCTGGGTAAGCAGTAGAGGTCGATACTCGACGCGTCCCACATGGTCTGTGTCGCTGTCGGCACGCTGTCGACAGGACGTCGAGGGACACCGGTGGCAGTGCCACCCAGGAGTGGTCGGGCGGTCTCCCGTCATGAGAGAGCCACCATGTGATCCGTATGATGATTCCTGACAACCGCCTCAGTCAACTTTTGTCACAGTTCCCGCTATGAGAGGAGCTGCGGGTCAGTTCGACAGCTGGAGCTGTGTCGCCGGCGTGCGGCGGCCTGCCTCCGGAGGTGCCTCTGAGGTGGACATCTTTTGGTCACCGTGAGAGAACGCGTTCGAATTTTCACTCCGGAACTTCAACTGAGCACGCGCACCGGCCAGGGCTACAATAGTGCCAGTGAGGCGGAGGCGCGAGTCGGAAGGCCGCGACCGTCAAGGGTTCCCTTCGTTTTGAATTCCTACAATCGCTGTGAACCCAGCCACGTAAGTTCTTACCTCGAGGGGTATGCCGTACCATCTGCCCTGGGTCGCTCGGCCACTCTCGTTGAAGCTTGGGGTTGGGCTCGACCCTTCCGCATGAATTAGTTATTGGTGTGGTGGAGATACACAGTATTCTCGCGAGTTGCAATAGTACATCCAGGCGCCCCTCTCTCGAGGCGATCCACAGCACACAGTGTGGCAAGTGTATAGTACACTTGGCAAGTGTAAATGTACGTGCTCTATCCTGCAGACTGCTCGCCGATCGGGTCTCCGTATGCAAGTGAGGGGAGCAGAGACGAGAGAGTGAGGTGGAGGGCGGCATGCCAACACTCGACGCCAACACGTATCTCCGCAGATCTGGCGCAAGCACTTTCGATCGGCTACCACTCGCTCTTGAACTCGGCCGACTCAGGCAGCACCTAGGCGGAGGGGCATGGTAAGCGCGTAACGGGCGCCCCACCGCGTGCGCGCGTGTGTGAGGTGAGCGCGCGTGCGTGCACCTGGCCACCATCGACGACGATCGTCTGGCCGGTGACGTAGGCGGCTGCGGCAGAAGCGAAGTAGAGGCAGGCGTGGCCAATGTCCTCCACCTAGGCGGAGACCACCCGAGATCCCATCCGAGATCATCTGAGATCATCATCCGAGATTATCCGAGATTAGACGAGATCAGCCGAGATCAGCGAAGGCGTGCCCACCTCGCCGATCGAGCCGAGCGGCACCGCAGCCGCCATGCCGTCGAGGTACCTGCACACGATGGAGACCGTGAGCGGTGTCGCTTCGCGCCTCACACCCAAGCCGCCATGCTGCCACGGCACTCTTGGCCGAGCGCTACCAGCCCCTCCGTCTTGATGTTGCCCGGTAGCACGCTGTTGACCGTCACCTGAGCCGCGGGTAGTCGAGGTCTGCTGGCGAGGGTGTGTGCGGCAGCTAACTTCCCGCCCTCGTGCCGCCACCTTGTACTTTGCGAGCTCGATGGCTGCCGACCGCATGAAACCGAGCTGGCCTATGGGGCGGGGTACACACTATGGGGTTCACTATGAAGCTCACACTGAGCAAGGCCCTGGGCGATGAAGGTTGAAGCGTTCCTGCCTTGCTCGCCCCGTAGTGCGACCAGCCCGGGTAGCCGGTGATCGGGCCTACAGCGGCCTAGCTGTGGCTGAGGCCCGCGGAGAGACCTGCCGTGAGCGGCTGCCCCGTGGCGTGGCACCGGTGATGCTCGACGTGAGCACGACGCGCGGCTGGCTGCTCAGCTTGAGGAGCGGGAGGCACGCCTGCGAGCCGTGGCGTGGCATCCGTGTGAGGCGGGAGAGGACTTCACGGAAGGATCCACGGGACTACGATCGTGCGGTGCGTCTCTCTCGCCTTGACCGCCAGGAAGGACCCCTTGAGGTTGGTGGCCATCACAGCGTCCCACTCCTCCGACGTCAGATCCTCAATCTTTGTCTGAGGGCGGTGGGGGCGGGGGCGGCGGCAAGTTGGTTGGCGACGGCACGAGGGCGGCGACGGGGAGGGCGGCTGCGAGTAAGGGCGGCGGTGAGTCGGTGGGGGCAGCGATGCTGCCTGAGGAAAGCCTCCCGCGTTGGCGCAGAGCACGTCGAGGCCTCCGTATCGCTCCTTGGCGCACGTGGCGACCGCCTGCATGTCCTCGAGGCTGGTCACGTCCGCCGCGACCGCCGACACCTTGGCCGCGCACGACTCGGACAGCTCCGCAGCTGCGGCCTGAGGGCGGCTCGCGCGCCACGACTCTGGGCGGGCCGTCCGGCGCAGAGAGAGAGCGAGAGAGAGAGAGAGAGAGAGAGAGAGAGAGAGAGAGAGAGAGAGAGACGAGAGAGAGAGAGAGAGACGAGAGAGAGACGAGAGAGAGAGAGAGAGAGAGAGAGAGAGAGACGAGAGAGAGAGACGAGAGAGAGAGACGAGAGAGAGAGACGAGAGAGAGAGAGAGGCACATACGTCGGGGTCATGATGGCGATTGGCGGTGTGAATTTGCGACTGCAGGTCACCTCGCCCTCGGCCAGGTTGCGGGAGCAAATGAGCACCGCGGCTCCAGCACGCGCAAACACTCGGGCGATGCCCTTGCCAATACCTTTGCTTCCACCCGTGACTGCCACAACCTTGCCTTCCATGGAGAAGGACATTGTTTCGGCGCAGCGCTGCCGCGAGCGATGGTCTTGCTGGGCTGGGGGGGTGTAGTGAAAAGAAAAGAGACAGGCGGATCTCTCTAAGATAATCTTCGATGGAGCTATGCAACCCTCGCCACGCTCTCCTCTCGTCGCTGTTTACGAGGGCTGGAGGTTCGCCATCAATAGGCTCATCCTTCTTCTTTCTGCGCGGCGCACGCCTCCTACTTCAAGTGGCGCCGGTTTTGGTAGCCACTGGCACGATTTCCCCCCCAAATTCGCGTACAGCCTCCCTTCGGGAGTTTGTAAAAAAGAAAAATTCTCGCCTTAGTGAACCATGGCTCGGCGGAGACCACTGATTGTCCTCGCGTTCGCGATCACCGATGCTGCGTTGCTCCAGCCGCACCTCGTCTGTAGCCGCCCGACGGCTGGACCTTGCACGCCCGCCCAGCTCTGGCCACGCACCCGCAGTTCTGCGCGGCGGGTCGCCACTGCCTCTCCGCCGTGCATGTCGGCGGCAGCGACCGCGGCGTGGGTCGGCGGCTGTGTCCTGAGCGGAACGGCGGGCGTTCCATCTGTGGTTGGCGCGACCAAGACGTGGTACCGCAAGATTCCGCTGCCGACATGGACGCCACCCGACCGCGTGTTTGCGCCGGTCTGGACGTCGCTCTATGCGATGATGGGGCTCGCGACCGCGCGTGTGGCGGCGGCGTCGGGCGTGTCGTCCCCCGTCGTGCACTTCCTCGCTCACCTGTGCGTCAACCTGCTGTGGGCGCCAATCTTCTTTGGTCTCCAGCGGCTGAGGCTCGCCCTGCTGATGAACGTCGCGCTGATCGCCTCCCTCTCCGTCCTCCTCGGGCAGTATGGCATCGCGGCGGCGTCGCCGAGCGCGCTCCTCCTCTGCCCTTACATGGGCTGGCTGCTATTCGCGACCGCCCTCAACTTCGCAATCTGCCGCCTCAACCCGACGGCCCGCGGCTACAACAACGCGCGCTGGCAAGCGGACCTCGCGAAGCTGCAGAAGCGCGCCGCGTCCATCGCCGCCGCTTAAATTTCGGCGGCAACGGGGCGGCGGGGCGGCTGCGCGCCTCTCCGAGCAGGTGGGAGGCGACGGCCGATGCCAGAAGCAAAGAACTCTAGGGACTAGGGCACTAGGCTAGGACACTGGGGACACATGGCAGTGTGGCAAAACAAAACGGGGTGGCATGTGCACGCCAGCCACAGCCCACGCAAGCACCCAAAACAGGCCCCAACACCACGCTCCGTCCACACGACCGCGAGCTCGACACACGTGGCGCCCGCAGCCGCACGGGGGGGGGACGGCGCGCGCGGAAGCGGGCGGGGGCCGGGGGCCGGGCGGTGAGAGGTCCGATCAGATGTGCGAGAAATCACGCCATCACAGATGTGTGGAGAACCGCATGGGAGAGTACATGTAAACGGCCTATCTCCAATAAAACGTCACGACGACGGGCGCCTCCCCGCCTCAAGATTCCTACGCCGCCTTCCGCCTGCTGACGCGTGCAACTTCGCGCATCGCTCGCACCGCCAGCACCGCCGCCACCGCACCCGTCGGCCGCAGCCTCCGCGCGCGCGGGTCGGGCCGCGGCTCGGGCGGGTGGACCACCTCGTCGAGCATCTCGCCTATCCGACAATCGTGCCACGCTCACGGCGATCGCTCGCGCTTGCGGACGCGCCAACTCGCCCAGCGTCTCGCCCTCGATCGCGTCGAGCGGCGCGACGAGCGGCGGCAAGGCCGAAGCCGCGTGCGCCTCGGCGAGCTCCGGGTCCTCCTCGGCCTACGATCTCGGACGCACCTCGGCTCATCTCGGCAGCGCTCGCCGGCAAGCCCGCGACCCGCCTCCGCCTCTGCGCTGGCGGCCGCGTCGCTCGCCGCGGCCTCCTCCGCCTCCTCGTCGCCGCACGCCACGAGCGCAGCGCCTACGCGAGGGGCGAGGCGCGCTCGAGATGCGAGGTGGGCCGCAGCGAGCCGGAGGCCGCCACGAGAGCGCTGCACCGATCATCAGCAAGCCGCCGACAGCGGTGCCGAGAGACACCTGGGCGAGGGGCAGGGCGGGGTCCTCGAGGCGGCCGGCTGGGTCGGCCGCCGGCGTCGCCCGTGCCGGAAGAGGGCGAGAGAGAGGAGAGAGAGGAAGAGGGAGAGCGAGAGGGAGAGGAAGAGGGAGAGCGAGAGGGAGAGGGAGAGGGAGAGCGAGAGGGAGAGGGAGAGGGAGAGGGAGAGGGAGAGGGAGAGGGAGAGGGAGAGGGAGAGGGAGAGGGAGAGGGAGAGGGGGTGGGAGAGGGGTGGGCTGGAGGCACACCTCTTCTCTCAGCAGCGCGACGCCGAACAAGCCGGCGAAGAGCGGCTGCAGCGCGGCGAAGGGCTGCGACTTTGCGGCGGAGATGGTGCGCATGGCCTGAGTGAGGTATGGGGAGACATGTGGAGATCTGGGGGAGATGTGGGGGAGGTGCACATCGCCAGTGAGTGAGGGTGTGCGAGTGGGGCGAGGTGTGCGGTGGGGGGATGGTGCGGCGGGGGATGCGAGTCGGGCGTGAGTGCGGGAGGAGAGAGCGGCGCACGAGCCTCGAACCGGCGCAACAACAACAACAGTACCACCGCTCTACTCCAGTGATGGTAACAGCGAGAGACACCTCGAACTGGAGCGACGCCGAGAGGAAGCCGCTGACGAAGACGCCGCCGCCCATCAGCGCCCACTGCGCCGGCCGCACGTGCCCGATCCTGAGGGTCGGTGTCGAGGGACGAGTCACGAGAGCGAGCCTCGAGTCTCTGCCTCGCTGCACGCGTGGCGGGGTGCCGGCGGAGTGTCGCCGCCGAGGCGCCGCCGGCGGCGACGTCTGCGGCGAAGAGGCCGGCGGAGAGGGCGCCTGGGGTGCGGGGGCGGAGGGAGGGTGGGCGGGGAGGGGGGGGGGGGAGGCGTCCGTCGGGGGCGGCGGAGAGGCAGAGGGTCGCCCATCCAGCACATGCGCGCCAGGTTGAGCGCCTGAGTTTGGGGGGGGGGAGAGAGGAGGTCGTGGCCAGCTCCGCCCGTGTCTCCGCCCATCTCGGCCTCTCGGGCGCGCCTCGGCGGCGTGGGTGCGCAGGTGGACGGTGGTGCGGACGCGGTAGACGGAGTCCACCCAAGCCGACGCCACAAGAGCCACGGCACCCGGCAAGCTGCCGCCTCCTCCTTCGCCTCCGCCGCCTCTCGCGTAGTCGACGGCCGCCGTGAGGGCCGCGGCGCCAAAGGCGAGCAGGCAGGCGCCCCAGGTGCGCCGCCCGAAGCCACCCACGCCGAGCAGGAGCGAGACGAGCGGGCAAAACACGTGGTCCTATGGCTCTCCCGGGACACCTCGAGGGCAGCCCCGGCTGCTGCGACCACACCGAGCCGAGCAGGCAGCCGTCGACGCAAAGATCTCGGACATCGCGGCGGTGACGCGGCAAGTGCCCCAGACGGAGAGGAGGGCGCACGACACAGAGTAGGTGCCCAGCTCCAGCGCCGCGAGGCTGGCGCCAGGCGCCGGCGCCGCCAGCGAGGCGGAGCCACCATCGGCCAAGCGGCGCCTCGCCTGAGACCAGGGAAGCTCTGTGAACTCGCTGTGGGACTGGCCTGCATGCGCGCAGTTGGCGCCTGCACGGCCCGGAGAGAGCGCGTCGCCGTGGCGAAGAGGCAGAGGAACGAGTACCGCACAAAGGTGATGAAGAGCGTGCCGAGCGGCTCTGCGCCTGGCACCGCCGCCACCGCGCGCAGCAACACACTGTAGCTGCCGAAGCCAGCATTGGCGACGAGCAGCATCAGCCTCGCCCGGGCCAGCTCGGCTGCGGAGGCCGACGTAGCCGAGGCGCCGCCGCCGCCTCGCAAGCGGAGCGGCGGCCGAGCACCACCACCGGTATGACGATCTCCGCCATGGCGGCAGATTTGTCCCTTGAGCTTGGGCGGCAGATTCGTCTGTACTGTCTGCACAGCATGCTGCAAGCGTAGCGAGGCCGAGCCTTGCAATGCTGCGGCCGTCAGGATGGCAAGCAGACCGCTTCTCATCCTGTGATCGTGACTGTGTCACTAGACTGTGCGATTTCGGGCCAGTGGTGGTGCTTTTCTACAGTGTACTCAGTGTATGTGGCCGGCAAGCTGCCAGGCAAGCAGGCAAAAGAAACCGGTCCGACATATTCAAACGGCGGAGAGATAGGAAGAGGCGGACGCCCAAGGGTGGGCGACGGCTAGCGCATCACACCCCTCTCCTTAAAAATCCCTGTGTGGTGGCGGCGTGCCGTTCTCCCAATCCCACATCCCTCCTTGGGTTGGCCGTTTTCTTTCTTTTCAAACGGCGGCGTGCCGTCCTCCCATCCCTCCCTTGGGTTGTCCGTTTTCTTTCTTTTCTTTCTTTTTTCAAAACGACAGGTCAGACAGAAGAGAAGACTCAGGTCAGTCAGCGAAAGGTTCGGCGAGACGGCGAAAAACGAAAAAACATACACTTATCAAAAAAAAAAGCATTCGCCCCCCTCCCCCCCCCGTTGCGACTTGCGCAACGCGGAGAACTTGCTCGCCCTCCCCCACTCTACGGCGCCCGCCTACGGCGCGAATCACTCTTATTCGTTCGCGCGCGGCGGGGCGGCGCGCGCCCGCCCAGTAGCTCGCCACTCACGAGTTCCGCGGCGCGCGCCAGGGTCGCCCCCCACGCACTTTCATGGCCCGCCTTGCAGTCCGCCTGCGGAGCCTGCCACTCGAGGAGCTCGTGCAGTTCGCGGCCGAGGCGCTGGAGACCCAACCATCGAGCCTCCTGGGCCTGCCCCACAAGGATCTCGCGGCACTCGCGGCGCCAGCAATCTCCGCGGACGCAGAGCTGAGCAAGGAGGCCGACCGCCGCATTGCGCTACACGCGCCGATTCCAGAGTGGGCGCTCTCAAAGGTACTAGTCTCGCAGGACCTCGCTCCCCTCATCCTCAACCAGCTCGAGGTCGGAGACTATGCCGCCGCCAAGGTGTGCAAGACGTGGCGTTGCGGGTGGCTGGCCACCGTCGCGCAGCGGCCCTGGTTGCGGCCGGCTCCAACGCAGCCGCCGCCCCTGGATGGTGGGGACTGGTCCGTGAGCGCGATCGTGGCGCTCGATGGCGAGCGGTTCTGCATGTGCGCAGAAGACCCCGACAACGACTTTCCCGAAGGGAATCTTCTGGTACTCAACCGCAGCTTCCAGGTGCTGCAGACGATCCCGTACCAGCAAGTTGATGGGCTGGCGGCAACACAGCACGGTCTATGTGGCTGGTGCGATGACATCCTCTCGCGGTACATTCTGACCGACAGCTCTTTAGACAAAGTGGCCGAGGTGGCGCTGGGTTTCCTTGTCTGTGACGTGATTTGCGCGCCCGACGGCACGCTCTTTGCCAGCACCTCCGGTCGAATCACCAGCAGCGGCTGCGGTTTCGTCGACAGCCACGCTCGCGTGGTCGCTTTCGACCCTCTCACACTCGAACAGAAGTTCAAATGTGAACCTGGCCACCTGAACCACTTTGCCTTCAGAGGAATAGCTGTTGTCGGCACGGAGCTCTTCGTGTGCGATAGTGCGGCGCCGGAGGGCCAGGAGAGGTACGGCCGCTTCCAAGTCTTTGCGCTCACGGGTGAGTACCTGCGTGAGGTGCGGGTCAGCGTGCCGAACCCGACTGCTCTCCAGTACATTAACGGGCGGCTATACGTTACTGATTACGCGTTTCCTCGGGACGGCCCGCACGTTTTCGTGCTCACTCCTGAGGGCGAGCCGCTGCAGCACTACCAACATGAGGCATTTTCGCTGGCAATTCACCCGGTGTGTCCTTTCGCGGGCGGACTGCTGCTCAGGGCAGACCAGGAGGGCTATCAAAACCGCCTTGCGTTCCTGAGTGGTCTCTGAAGGAGGTGCGGGCTCAACCCACGCGCACTGTGGTCACACGCACACACACAGGACACACACACACACACGCGGGCGCACACACGCACGCATGCACGCACACCGCTCACCCATGCGCACCGGGCCTTGCACATGATGATGCCCCCCCCCCCCCCAAAGGGCCTCGCCCCAAGCATCGTGCAACGTGCATGTCTAACAGTCCTCCTATCTCTCTTCTCTGTCTCTGTCTCTGTCTCTCTGTCTCTGTCTCTGTCTCTCTGCCTATGTCTGTTTCCCCCTCTCTCCGCGTCCGCCCTCTCTCTCCCCACGCAGTTTTTGGAGCACTTAGAGAAACCCCTGGACGAACGCTGAATTGCGGTGTGAGCTGTGATGACAGCGCTGATATGTGTAAGGCGACGACCACCCCGGACAAGCACGCTTCACACGGTTGGCGGTGCGCGAGCCCCATGATGATCTGCGGGGCCGAGCTGGAGACGCGCATGGCGCGGCTCGAGGCTAAGATCGACCCTGTCTCCGGCCGCACGAGTGACGAGCGCAAGTATGCTAAGCAGCCGCGCCGCTCCGGGGCCTGAGTGTCTGTTTCTCTCTCATTCCTGTCCGTGAATAGACGATATAAGCAAAGGGGGGTTGAGGGCTGGTATAGAGGCGGGTTACAGTGTCAGAGCTATCACAGGATGAGGGCTCTAATTAGGGTTACACACTGGTGACAGGGCTTGTCGGGGGGTCGCGACACTGGACGCGTCCGGACGTGTCCCGCCGACACCCCCCCCCGAGCCCCGTCCGAAGACGTGTCCAGAACAAGACCGTGCCCGGGCGGGGGCCTGACCTGTCGTGTCCGGTCACACGAGTATAGAAAAGTGTGTGTGTATGCGTGTGTGAGGTGTGCTAGAGGTGTGCGAGAGCGTTCTGAGCGGAGTATTTGTTTTGTCCTATCTCGCGCGTGGTCCACAGCGCAGCGGCAGGTGCGGTGCCCGGTGGCCGGTGCAGCCAGAGAGGTGAGAGAGAGAGAGGAGAGAGCTCTGGGCACTGTGGGGGTCCGACTCCGAGAGAGGTGTACTCTCTGGCTACGGCGCTTTACCACAGGGTCAGGGACCAAGGGAGCAGGGTGCGCGCGGGGCTCCGATATATCGAGCCCCGCAGCGCTCCCAGGGCTGAATTCAACATGGCACATGGATGCTACCTATGACAGCGCACGGGATTCTCCGCAGACCGCGCACGCACATTAGACTTACATATATAGCCCCCATGCAGCTGCGCTAGAACCCTCCAAATTGCGTCTGTCCAAACCGCGACTCCACGTGGGGCCATGTGGCACAAGTGACGCGACCGTCTCGTGATGTCGTAATTCGGCGCCACGCCCGCCGCCCCCTCGACGCCTCCCGGCGCCCGCAACCTCGCGCCCCTCCAGTGCCAAGAGAGGAGTGCGCCTCCGGCCGCCTTCCGTTGAGAGAAGAGGGGAGCAGAGAGTCGCGGCCGCGGAGGCGGGTGGGGGTGGGGGGGGGGAGCTCAGCCAAACTTGTTCTTGGCGAGAGAGTAGAGGAGCGTGCCTGCGGTTTGCACATTCGTCGCGTCAGCCAACGGCCAGCCGACTGGCGTTGCTCTCTCGTTGGGCGGCGGGTGGGGCGAGGTGCGGCGCAAGATACGGTGCGGGTGCCGGCGATTGCGATGCTCGAGCCGATGACGCCGAGCGTGGAGATCGGCGTCTTGAAGGCGATGACCGAAGCGACGATGATGACGACGCGCTTGATGGTGTTGCCGACGGCGTGCGTCACCTGCCGCCGGACCGCCGCCCGAAGTGTGGCCGAGATGGAGCTGCAGTGCGGCGCGCGCAGACAACGCGGTCACCGGGTTGACGCGGCCGAGGGCGAGGAAGGCAACCTACGGCGGCAGACGCGCCACGCCCCTCGCGCCACGCCCCTCGCGCCACGCCCCTCGCGCCGGCCGCGCCAGGCTCGCGCTCGACGCGGAGGTGCGGGCAGGCGGTTTTCTCGTTGAGCGGTGGGACAAGGCCCCTCTGGTCTCGGCTGGTCTCGGCTAGTCTCGGGCCTCGTTGTACAGGTAGTAGAAGGCGCCGGACAGCAGCGACATCTTTGCGAGGTAGCCCGCCTGAGCACACCTCGAGCTGTGAAGAGCACCGCGCGGGAGCTACGGGTCGGCTCTCGCCCCGCGGAGAGGCGGGGGGGCGGGGCGCCGTCATGCCGGCGCCGGTGGCGGCGGTCCAGGCGGCGCGGATGGCGGCGGGAGGCTCGATGGCGAGGGCGACCGGGAAGAGGGCGATGGTCGCAAGAATGGTCAGCACGCCGTACAGGTTCGCCTAGCCGCCGCTCACGCCCAGACCCGTGATCGCGGGGGGCTGGGCAAGGGCGGCGAACGCGCAAGCCTCCTCACCTCGCTCATGTTTTCGCCGACACCGCCCCCCATCGTCTTCTTTGCCAGGATGCCTGTTCACGGCCGCGCGCGTGAAGAGACGCCCCTGGCGTGAGGCCGCCACCGCCGCGTGAGGGCATGCCGCGCATCGCCGAGGATAGGTTCGAGACCATGGCGGCGATGAAGCCGACCCAGGTGAAGGAGAGCTCCTGCCGGGGGAGGGGGGGAGAGGGGAGGGGGGGGGGGGGGGGGAAGTCCCAGGCAAACCTCGGCTCGAGCCATCGGCGCGCGGTCTCCTCTCTCTCTCTCTCGCGCCGCTGCTGCTGCTGCTGCTGCCTTGAAGGAGGAAGCGCGGCTCTGTCTCGGCTCTGTCTCGGCTCTGTCTCGGCTGCATCTCGGCTGCATCTCGGCTGCATCTCGGCTCCATCTCGGCTGCATCTCGGCTGCATCTCGGCTGCATCTCGGCTGCATCTCGGCCTTGAGAGAGGCGAGGGCGACGCCGCCGACGATGGGGAGCAGCGTCAGGTACGTCTGCCACGAAGAGACGGCGCCTGGAGAGGCGGGTAGGGGCGGCGTCACGCCGCCACCGCGCAGGCGAGTCCTTGCCCGCCGCTGCGGGACAGCGCCGAGGATCGCAAAGGAGAGGGCGGCGGAGACGACCGGCTCGGACGCCTGCCGGGTGCCGGGCAGCGTCTCGAGGTCTCGAGGTGGCGGGAGGGGGGGCGGCGGGCCCCGGCGCCTTGATGATGTGAGTGAAGGAGACGGCGCCGGCGCCGAGCGAGATGACCGCGCCGATGTGCGTGCCTGCTCACAGCGCGGGGCGCCGTGAAGGCCGCCTCATCGCCTCGCACGCGGCTGGTGGGGCCAGGCAGCAGCGGCGAGGCGATCGGTGCTCTCGGCTCTCGGCGTGCTCTCTGCGTGCTCTCTGCGTGGTCGGGGCGCTAGAGGATCTCTGCCGGAGCCCGTCTCGGCTACGCGTCGGCGCCGAGGTGGCCGAGCGACACTGGGATGAGGAAGTGTCTAGGAAGTGTCTAGGAAGTGTCTAGGGAGTGTCTAGGAAGGCGCCGAGGTGGCCGAGCGACACTGGGATGAGCGTCTTGACGTTGTCAGCAGACAGCTTTGGCGCCTCGAGGGGACAGAGAGAGGCGTCACTGGACAAGGTGCGCAGCCGCAGGGCGCGCCTCCACGGCGACACGGCGGCGGCGGTCGCGGCGGCGGCTGTGGCGGCGGTAACGGCGGCGGCGGCGGCGGCGGCGGCGGTGGCGGTGGCGGCGGCGGCGGTGCCAGGAATGATGTTCTCTCAAGGGTGGCTTGTGGCGGGTGCGTGGCGTCGCCTTGCGCAGCCCGGTGGTCCAGAGGAAGAGACAGTACGGGATGCCGACGAAGAGCTGGAGGAGCGCCATCGTCCACGGGATGGGCAGCGCGTTGAGCGCCTGCCAATGTGTGTGCATTTGGCGAGGGGCTCGGAGTCGAGGTGGTACTCGCGCTGACGGCGGGCGTGAGAGAGGGAGGGTCTACTGGCTCCCGAGCCAGTGGGTACCGACAGCGGGTGAATTGCGGCGAAGACTTGGGTTGGCGGTGGGCTGGCTGTGCGGCTGTGCGGCGGCTGGCGGTGGGCGGCCGGGCTGGCACTAATGGCGGCCTTCTTGTTGTAGATATTGTAGCCGATGTTGAAGAGGTACCAGAGCGCGAAGAACGAGGCCGTCTTGAGCGTCTCAAACACGCCATCGCTCTCCTTGGCCTCGGCCGCGTCGGCCATGAAGATTGCCGGCGCACGCGGCGCCAGCCGAGCGGCGGTCGGAAGCGCGACGGCGGCGCGCTGCGGTGCAACGCGCAGGTGGTGGCGCGGAGCCACGGCGAAGGACGCAAGCGCCGACGTGCCGACGGCGCCGAAGAGCAGCACAGCTTTCAGCAGCATCGCCGAGATCAGTTGTGCAAAAAAAAATACAGCCACTAGCCGCGGGACGCCTCGTGTCGCAAAAAAGAATTCAGTCATCTTCTAAGCCGCGCGTGGACACTAGAGGAGCCGGGGCCCGGTTTCCGCAGTGCTGCGCGGCGCATGGTGCCTCTGGACGTTCGACTTGGTCTTGGACATTCGTCGGTCGACTTAGGTCGCCTTTTCCTTGAATACCCCTGAATGAAGGAACTTCCGCGCCCCAACCTACTAACCTATCACAACGCACCTCGTGCACGGCCTACTCCACTCCCGCGCCGTCCCGCGCCGTCCTCACTTGAGCGTGCTGAGGTACGCCACCACGTCCACTCGGTCCTTCTCCTTCTTGAAGCCCGGGAAGGCCATCGAGGTGCCCTTGACCACCTCCTTTGGCTTGGCCAGGAAAGAGAGCATCGTCTCCTCAGTCCAGGTCGAGTTGAAGCTCGACATCGCCTTGGTGTACTTGTACTGCGGTTGGCGATACGGGGCGTGAGCGGACGCGCGGACGGAAGCGAGCAGGGGGCAGGGCCGGGGACCGTCGGGCTGGGGCGCGGCTGGCGGCGGCACCGCTTTGTCGTGCGCCGTCTGCGCGCCGATGATGCTGTAGAGGTTGGGGCCCTGCTTGCTGGGTCCGCCCTCGTTGCAAGTGTGACACGCGGCGCACTTCGCCTTGAACAGGGTGGCTCCCCTCGCGGTGTCGGCAGGCTCTGCCGGCGCACTCGCCACCGCCGGCGCGTCTTTTGCCGTCGTCTCTGGAGCCTTGGCCGCCTTGTCGGGCGGCTTCTCGGTCTTCTTCTTCTTCTTCGGCTTGGACGCTGCTGGCGGCGCGGCGGCCGGCTGGGACTCGCCATTCTCCTTGTCCCACTCTTGCGAGGCATGCAGCCGGGCCTCATCGTGCAGCTTAGCGAGGAGAACCTCCTGGCGCATCCTCGCCTGCCGCGCTCGGATCAGGGCCTCGGTGTCCTGGCCAATACCCGTGGCGCCCGAGGCAGCCGCAGAGACCACACCGCCCATGGGCGACGCGAAACGCACTTACTTGCCTTTGCTTCGCGTGGCCTGCGCAGAGACACAGACCGTTCAGAGGGTGTCGCCGGCGAGGAGGGACAGGAATCTGCGGAAATGTCAGCACCCGTTTCATTTTTCTTTTGAGAGCGCCTTTTTCTTTGCTCCGGCCGGCACTCAGGCCAGAGCCGCCGTAGGAGTTTTATTGTTTCTCTAGGCACGGCGGCACGGGACTGGCTGTGTTAGTGCCAGTGCGCGCCAGCCAGCCAGTCAGTCCCGCGCGCGTGATAGTTAGTGTTAACTGTCATTAGTGTCGTGCAAGGGAGTTTGGTTGTGTACGTTTACTCGAGTAGAGGTCAGCTGCGGTCCGATCCGAGGGCGATGGCCGATGCCAGAGTCTGCCGCCGAGTCGGCTCTCTGGATGACGGGCAAGCCAACACAAAACCAACATGGACGGGAAGACGCACACGCACGCCTCCATCCACTCCACTCAGAACACCGCAGACTTGAAAAGTGACAAGTGTGCGCGCCGCAGCGCGCAGGCGAGGAAGGAGCCCCTTCGGAATGGGGGTGAGGAGGCATCCCCTCCGGCTACGACAAGATGCACGGGATCTGTGGTCCTCACGGGGATGACCCGTCTCCTCCAGATCGAGACGGGACGGCCGAGCAGTATTCGTTCATTAATATAATTAATTGATGCATTTTGAGGAAAACGGACAATTAATCAGATGGAAGCAGGAAGCTTCCATCCCGGCGGTGGTTCGAATCCACACAAGCCGAAGGTGATGGGTTCGCGAGTCTGGAGGTCTCGGAAGCCCACCCATTGAGGGGAAGTGAGACCGCCCACCCTGATCATGCTGAACAAGCTCCTCTTGTAGCTCGATCGGTCACACCGCCATCACCGCCGACGTCTCCCAGTGAGATGATGGAGAGGGGGGACGACACCGCTCGATCTACCCTCTGGGGTCCCTCAGCGGCGTGCACCTCGATCCTGTACCGTGTTTGTTAGGACCCACCCCCAATGAGCACGCCAGCGAGGGAGGGCGAGACGATCGAGGGGTCCCGTAGAGCTCTACCATGCGGAATCGACCCTATTGAGTGCGGGTCAGGAGGCCCTAAAACGGCGGGAGGGGTAGGGGTGCCGCTGTAGGGGTGTGGAGGGGTCCTGAGCCCTGGCTGTCAGGCTGTCAGGTGCTGTCAGGTGATCTGTCGGGCTGTCGGGCACTGTCAGGCACTGTCAGGTGCCTCTGTCAGACCAGCTGTCAGGTGCTGTCAGTGCTGTCGGGTGCTGTCGGGTGCTTGTCTGACATGCGAACGAGCACCCCCCACACCCCCAGAGGCTAGGGCTCTCTTGCCCGTAACCCGATATCGAGCATCCGACCCGCTGGGTGCGCTTCTTAGCTCCCCGGCCCTGGATGTGAGGTTGCCGACTGCACTCCAAGCGCTCCAAGTTATTTTACCGTCTTCCTCTCTCTCTCTCTCTCTCTCTCTCTCTCTCTCTCTCTCTCTCTCTCTCTCTCTCACTCTGTGTGTGTGTGTGTGTGTGTGTGTGTGTGTGTGTGTGTGTGTGTGTGTGTGTGTGTGTGTGTGTGTGTGTGTGTGTGATTGTTTAGAATACCAAACAACTTGAGCACTTGAGCACTGGATAGGGTCGATTCCGCATGGTACGGGACCCCTCGATCGTCTCGCCCTCCCTCTCTGGTGTGTTCATTGGGGGGGGGTCATAACAAACACGGTACAGGATCGAGGTGCACGCTAAGCAGTGAGTGTCGTCCCCCCTCTCCATTATCACACTGGGAAAGAAAACAATCAGCGGGAGGCCGAAATAAGAAAACCCAGAGCCTTCTCTTCCAACAACAGCAAGCAGCATCGCCCGCGCCTAGTTTCTCTGAAGGCGGCGCCAGGTCGAGAGTCAGTGAATCAGTCCACACGCAGGTGGGTTCCATGATCGAGCAGGTGATGGAGGTGTGCGGCTGCTCGCGCGAGGCGGCGGAGCGTGCTGTCGAGGCGGCAGGGCCCGGAGGCGAGCTATTGTCCGTTGATGATTGAGATGCCTCTCCATGTGGTGCCTTCAGGCCGCCACCCGCTCACCAGGCGTGGATCTCGCCGTCGACCTTGTGCTCTCCACGATGAGCACACACACATCGCTACCTTCGGGCTTCGACGCTCCGCCTCAGCCGGCGAAGCTGGTCTGCCTCGTCCGGAAGGACCTCGGGATGGGCACCGGCAAGGTGGCGGCGCAGGCAATCACAGAGCGCGCGAGTGTGAGCGGGACACCAGAGAATGCTTACGCCCGGCTGCCTCCCTTGCAGGTGGCGCACGGGGCTCTAGCCGCGTACCGCGCGGCGGTGCGGCGACGGGACGCGGGCGACGCTTCGGTCCCCTTCCGCTCGTGGGAGGAGGGCGGCGAGCCGACGGTCGTCCTGGGCGTGGAGGACGAGGCGCGGGCCTCTGTAGACTCGCAGCCTAAGCACCGCTAGCCACGAGGAGCGTGCGATCCGCTCACGCGGGAGAGGGGCCACCCACGGCTCGGCGCGGCTTCTAGGCGCAGCTCGATGGGTTGCTGGCGCAGGCGGAGGCGCGGGGGTTGCCGACGGAGCGGGTCGCGGACGCGGGGCGGACAGAGGTGGCAGCCGGGTCGGTGACGGTCGGCACCATCGGGCCGGCAAACAACTCGGAGATTGATGTAGTCACGGGTGGACTGTCGCTGCTGTGACTCCGTCCCGGCGCTCTCGACATGTATAATCAGACTCTCGGCCCCGGCACACGGCGGAGGAGGAGCGAGGAGGAAGACAGCACAACCCCAAGGGCCTTCGGGCTTCGGCAAGGGCGGGATGCCAGGGCACAACGCTCAGGTGGGACAAAACACCGACATACGAGAGATGAGGCCACACAAAACACAGACAAGCAGAATGGCAAGAGAGAGACGCTCTGCAGGCGAGCCCAAGGGCCTCTTGGGCCCTCGCGTCTCTCTCTCTCGATTCGACCTGCTTTCGACCCATCACAAAATCTCTCAAATGTGGGAAGCCAAAAACCTCCTTTGGCTTCCCACACAACCCCGCCCCCCTTCGAGCCTTCGTCTCCTGGGGGGAGCAGCAAATGAGGTAGTCTCTGCGAAAACACTGTCCCAAGTGAATTCGCCCAAGAGGCTTCCGTGTGGACTCGCAGCTCCGGCTGGATGTCGGCGACCTAAAGCTCGGCGGTCGTCGCTTCGCGCCGGCCGACTCCCTGATTCACCAGATGTTTAAGAAGATGCCTCCTGGCCATGCTCCTGGCGCTGTGCGCGCTGGTCTATGAATTCACGGACCTTGATGTCCTTATTGTCGAGAAGGAAATACCTCGTTTGGCGCTGCGCGCTGGTCTATAGAGAGAAGTTCCAGGTTGAGGTGCGAGCCCTTGGATGGGGGAGATACTTCACAGACCTTGTTATTGAGAAAGAAAAAATACGTGCCGTGGCGCTGTGCGCTGGTCTATGAGTGGTTGATTGAGGTGCGAGCCCTGGAGGCCCTGGGGATGGGGGGAGACTACCCGCGGGCCTAGAAGGCCCGCGCGCATTCACAGCCTTGTTATGAGAAGAAAATACATCCTTCCTATGGCGCTATGCGCTGGTCTGTGTTTCACAGTAGGGTGATAAGAAACAAGAACCTCGCATGCGACGACAGTGAGGGTGTGAGAGACAGACCCAGGGATTCATCACACCATTCGACACATCCGCACAAACAAGTTCCGCGTGTGTCGTAGAACCAGAGGCTTGCGCAGCAAGACGATTTCTGAGGACGACATAGCACGGCGGCCGTTGCTGTAAAAGCGACGTTGGCAGCATCTGACAGCAAGTTTGATCATACGTCAGTACCCATGGGCGCCAATGCGCAGTGCCCTGACCCAACGTGGACTCGCGGCCTTTGTCGTGAGATCTTCACCGGCTTCTCGGGCGACTGCGAGACGGATACAATCGGCCACTGGGAGGAGGTTTTGCACCGCACACACATCCACACGCACTTGTGAGAACCCGGCGCGAACCGGCTTGCACTCTGAGGGTGTAAGACTACCTGAGACAGTGGAGACGGCGAGGAGACGCCATGAATCGCCTAGCGCTCGTCCTGCACTACGTTATGGATCCTTAAGTGGTCCTACCTGCCTTAGGTAGCAACTGCCGCCGAATGCGTGAGGCGGTGTCACGGATGCCTTGGTTGCAGTCACGTGACTTATGACCGCACCAACCGGATCTGCAGCTGGCACACACGATGTGACGCAGTGCGGCCCGATCGCGGCGGACACCGCTGCTCGCTCGCCGTCCGCCGCGCCGAGAATGGCGTCCTGTCCTACTGCGCTTACAGCGGATTTGCAAACCAGCTGCACGCGATTCTAGATGCAAAACACACCCTCCTCTAGGCAGACCCCGTCCCGCCTAGTCGCGACTGCACGATGACGCGACTACGCAGGTGCAGGCACGCTGATCATCAGACACGCCTGAAGCGTGCTATCCCGTCGACTCACCACCTAGGTACGCCCTCCTCGAAGCCGCGTGGGTGGCGTCGCACGCGGGCCTCGCACTGCTGCTGCCGCCGGTCCTCATCGCGCAGTTCGAGCGCCGCTCTCTGCGGCCAAATACCCGAGAGATACCTGCGATGACTAGGTCCTCGTCGCACAGCAGGAGTGGCCGCTCTACATTGGGTGCAGCCGGCACCAGCTGGACGACTTTCTCGCCGCGTGCGCCTCGCCTGGATGGGGTCGGAGGAGCGAGACACAGCCGTGACATAGCTGACATGGCACAGCCGAGACATGACGTGAGACGAGGCCCGGAAAGCCGGCACCTAGAGAGTTGTCTGTGCGAGGTGTCCTCAGCCTATTCCACCGTCCGCTAGGAGCAACGCCGCTTGGAGGCACGTGCTCGACTTGACGGCGCTTCCCTCCCGCACCACGACCGCCGAGGCGGGCATGGCCTTCGAGAGCAGGGTCGCCCTGGGCCACCTCAATGCGCAACCTTTTGGAACGGATTGCAAGCCTGTCTTCTCCAGCGACGCGGCCAAGCGGGCGCCGGAAGGCTGCGGGCGGAGCATGCTCGTCCCATCGAACCTACCCGGGTCGTCGCGCCCGTGCGCCCAACCCTCACCTCCAATGCTCCCGAACCCTCACGTTTCACTGTTCGCAGGTCGCCGCACCTCCCCGTGGGGTGCCTGAGACAGCTCGTCGACACGAGCAATGTCAGCCGGCGCTACGACCTCGGGTCCGCGTACAGCCTTGTGCGCAGCATAGAGCTAGGAGGCAACTGCTAGCACGACCCTTCAAGGTCTTGGCCAGACCTCGCCCACATCCGGTCCCTCGTGGCAGACTGTGGTCGTCCACCAGGAGGGGAGAGCCAGCGCTAGAAAGCAACTGCAACAAGCGGACGGTGCATGTGACACGCCTCGGTTGGACAGGTGAGCGGCCTTCATGCCAGCGGCCGCTTCGTCGCTTCCAACGTCCGCTACAGCGCCGAGGAAGCGGCGGGCGCTCGTTCCACGAGTAGTGCGATCTGCGTCTCGTCACAGCCCAGATTGTGTACAGGTCGTCCAGTTGGCGGAGCGGATGGTGCGAAGGCTGCGCAGCGCCAGCCCAGATGGCACGTTCTGGTGCGCGCACGTGCGGCTCGCCGGGGGCAAGGGGAGCTGGGACCGTGGCAAGGCGGCCGGATTCTGCTCGCCAACTTTGGCGGTCGAGCTCATCTCTTCACACACCCCTCAACGCGCACAGGCGGGCCACATCCTGCACGGTTACTACCACTTCCGCACTTCCGCGACGCTACAGGAGTGGGCAGTCCCCCTCCAGGGGTCGGCCGGCTTCGTGGCTACCGACAACGAGGCTGATATGTAGCCGATAAAGCCGAGAGATCTCGTGTGCCCACGGACAATGAGGAGGAGAGGCCCTCCAGGCAGCGTCTTCCTATGATAGGAGCGGCTGCGGAGGGACCACCCCTCCCTGTGCAAGCCCGAGTCGCTCTGCACCTTTGACCGGCAACTCGAGGCGGGGGCCTCGGCGAGCGAGTGCGGCGTCGGCTCTGCGACCGACCGCTGCCGCGCGCAGCATGTCGCAGCGACGACGCTGGTGTGCGCCCATGCAACGAGGATCTTCCTCACCGGCGAAAAGGTAGCCGAGATTGGTCGAGGTTGATTGAGATTGAGGCTGCTCGAGGCACTCGAGTTGTGCGTTCTTCGAGATACGCCCAACTTGAGCAGCTACCCCTATCCACCCTCGTCGGATCCGTGACCTGGATAGGCCCGAGCTCGTACTCCCGCCTCATCCTCGACCTACACGCCATGAGCCCGATGGTGCAAAGGGACCGCCGTTTCAACGCCACCCGGCGGCAGGTGCTCGTCTCCGGCAGGGACGTGGTATGGCAGGGCAAGCACGCGCTACAGCACGCCTTCCATGCGGCCAAGGCGTCCCTCCTCATCTGCCCCGATGCGGACTGCGTGCGCACAGCAAACGCGCGCGAACTTGGACTTGCGAAGCTCGTGGTGATATGCAACACGATTGCGGTGAGCGAGGTGTGGTGGCTGCATAGGCGGACTGGCTCGCGGGGCGTCTCAGCGCGCCACCAAACGCGTCTCGCCGCGTTGGGCATGGCCGGCCCCGCAGGGCGGCTGCGGCGAGACTCCGGACAGGGCGTCCGCTCACCCGCGCTGCGCTGAAGCAGCAGCCCGCTGGGGGATGGCGGGTTGAGAGAGAGCGGCGCTTCTGACCACTGCACTTGGAGCACTTGGAGTGCGGTCGGTAACCTCCCCCCGCGGGGCTGGGTAAATTGCACCGGAACCGGAGGTCGGATGGGAAGCTCCGCCATAAAAAAGAAAGAGAAGGGAGGGAGGATGGCCCCCCGCCACCACACAGGGTTTTGTTCATTGACGAATCCCAGTCTTTTGATATGAGTTTTCTTTGGTGTACGACCCTCCCACAAGTGGTATTAGTACGGCCATGAAAAGGGGACCGCGCACCCAATCGCTCCGTCGCTCCTCGGCGGCCACGGGAGTGACGACGGGCTAGCCAAACCATTGAAGACGCCGTGTCGATGAGCTTCTAACTCGATCGCGTTCTCGAGATACAGCTTGAGATTGTGCGAGTTGGAGTGGTCTCAGGAGTCGGCGCCGCCGCTCGGTGCTGTTCTGCTGGTTTGGCGATCCAGTGGGCTGCTCGTCCAGACAGAGGCTGCCTCAACTCCTGAGCTGCTCAGGCCTGGTCAAGGCCATCCACCAGCATGCTCTGGGAGCGCTGATGCACACCAGCTCGCGCTGCTGGACCCACGGTGGCTGCGTTCGGCCATCGGCAGCGCCGGTGCGACGACATGCTGGCGGCGGTCTTCCGCAAACTAACTACTTACTGTCAGGCGAGTGCACGACGAGATATGACCGCTCGCATGTGTGCTCAGGGCACCTCAGGGCTGCTGCGTGACGCGTGGCTCGGCTCCGCGAAAAAGAAAGAAAGAAAGAAAACAGACACGCCAAACGAGGGATGGGACGAGGACAGGGTCCCCACCTGCACGAGCAGGATTTTGGAAGGACGATCAGGGGGACAGGTGGGGCTCTCCTGCTCCTGACAAGGGACACGACAGGCTCGCAGCGCGGTGCGCGGTGGACTCCCACATCCACTGGCGGTCTCATCTCAGTCGGCTCCGCGAGCGCTTCTTTGATTTTTAAACCAAATTCTCTTTCTCGCGTGACTTCGAGTGTCTTGTCGAACGCTGTCCGCATATCATTTCATGCGCGGCTTCCAACCCTTGAATGTCTCGCCGTCCAAAGGCTCGCGCGGCTCGCCTCGTCACCCGAAGCTCGACCAAAGGCTGCCAGAGAGCCGCCCGGACGCGGACCCGCCAAAGATGATCCGCACGTCTTCGGGGCAAATTCCTGTGCCACGCGAGACATCGGATCCTTCACTTTGGGACTACTCCTCGCGTGTCACCGAGGCTGCTTCTCCGGAGAAAAGGTCAACTCGCCTACCTCCCAGCCGCGTCGAGCCCGCGGGTTGGCATCGGTCGCGCCGCCGGCTGATCGAGCGCCTTGCGCGAGCCCTCTCCACCTCTGCTGCGCCGGTTCTGGTGTGTTGTGGGGGGCGACCCAATTCGCCACGCCTCACTCGCCACCTTCATAATATAGGCGGCCAATATTCTCGTCGCCGCCTCCGACGCCGGCTTGGTCGAAGAGGCGAGGAGCGGCCTACTTAGCGGCCTCTCTGCCCCGCAACCGCCACGCTTTGTAGTGCTCTGCCCCGCCGCCGACGTCGACGTGCTCGGAAAGCTGGCTAGTATTTTGGGGAGGGTCAAGTCTGACTCTCCCCGTGTCCGGCTCCGATCTCGCAGGTGGTCGATCAGATCCGCGAGGCGGCCAGCTCGAACGCGCCGCGTTTGCCCCCCATCCACTTTGCCATCCGTGCCACGACGTGCGGCCGCGAGCTCCGCGCCTGCTTGCGAGGCGACGCGGGCAGGGTGGCGCACGCGGCAGAGGCGGGAGGAGGGAAGGAGGGCGGGCGGGCCGGCACCGCCGCGGAGGCGCCCCGGGAGGGTGCGGACATCGCCCTCGTGTCTCTGGACCTGCTCTCTGCTGCAGGCTTCGAGTGCGGCTCCGAGTCGACGGTACTCATCGCTCTCGTGAGCAACGGGCAGGAAGAGTCGATGCTTGAGATTCGGGAGACGATAGCCGCCGCCTGACTTTCGCCGACTGCTGTAGGACCCGGCCGCGCTGTACCGCGAGCTGGGCGTGCAGGACCAGCTGTTGTGCCCTCCCTCCCTCGTGCAGGTCCGCCGACTGCTGCACCAGTACTTCCCGCGCAGGGCACACAACCTCTCTTGCCCTCGTCGAGTCGGCGAGCGCCGCCCACTTGCAGCGGTGTGAGCAGGTCTTTCTCGGCGCCGCCACTCCGCAGACTCCACTCCACAGCCCCCTCCTGTCCGTCGGAGCCGGGCCGGCCTCGCTGTCCGCAGCGTCGCCGGCGGCGCAGTCGGGCGCACGCTGCCCGTCGGCGCTGGCGTGCGCGCTCCGGGTGCTGGTGGTGGCGAAGTGCGAGCAATCCGCAGCCACGCTCATCAACTACTGCGAGGCCCGCCGAGAGTAGCCGAGAGTAGCCGAGGGTAGCCGAGGCGGCCGCCACGCGCATCAAAAGCCCGCGCACTCTCGGCTATCGCACGCCATCGGCACAGGTCTTCTTGCTGTGGGCGGAGCACGTCTGTGAGGCGGAGGAGGCGATGGCTCGACTTTGCGCAGGGCACTACGATTTGGTCCTCGTCGAGCCAGACCTGGCCGGAAGCATGAGCGGCTACGCGCTCTGCGCTTGGTGGCGCGAGTACTCGCAGGCGGCTGGCGGCGACGCGCACGGCGCGAACGAGAGACGGGACTGCCTGTCTCGGAGGCTCGATTGCTTTCGCTGAACCGCCCTCAAGCCTCACCTCATAGGCAAGACGACGGAGTTTGTCTCGGTCTCTGAAGCTCCCGACACAGAGGCATGCGCCGCGTTTGGGCTGCGCTCAAGCATCGCCAAGCCCGTTTCCGCAAGATGCTTCGCGACGATGCTCAAACGGTGGCTGCGCCAGAGCGAGAAGAGATAGAGCCGTCGAGCAGACCTCTACTAGTCACGACACCCCTCGGACACACCATTTATTGTATCGATATCGGCCAGGGGTCAGGTGTGTGAAACAAGAGGTACGGCTTTAAGTAAGACACGCGGGCGGCAGATCGGCAGTTTTTGTAAGTTGTAAACAGCTGAGGCGTGTGACGGAGATCGGAGTGTGAAACAGAGGCCTCGAGACAGGAGGGGCGAGTCGCGAGAGGCGCCAGCCCGTAGCCGCTACCAGGCTCTCTGCGTCTCTATCGATCTCTATGCCACAACGACTAAGCACGCTGTATTGGAGTTTTTAAAACGACATACGTGTGTATGTGGGCGCCCCACCTCTACCTCTAGAGCGCCCCACACGCATATGCGCGCAGTTCGGGGTCGTTCTTGCGCTTGAGGGAGCCGCCCCGGCTCGTGGCGCAGCTCTCGGTATACCCAATGGTAGGAAATTCATGACATAATTCTTTCTCACACGATGATCTGTGGGTGATGACATAGAGACTGTGGCGGGTCTGGGCTCTGGCCCGGCGCAAGGGTGGCCGGGGTCCGGGTTTGAGGGAGCCGCCCCGGGCGCATAGCGTCCCTGACGCATCGGGTGGGGAGTGGGGTGTGCAGCTCTGAGGCCGAGTGAGCCGCGGCCCGCGCGGACCAACAAGCCTGAGTCTCAGAAGCAGGCTGACTGGATGTTGTTGGGGCCGGTGTTTGCTGCGTTGCGGCCAGAGCACTCGATACCCCAAATCGAGCAGTAGAAGGGGAGCGGGGTCGGCGCAAAAGGAGGAGCAGGCGGCGGGCTCGGCGGATAGACGGGGCAATATGTCGAGGCGAACACCTCCGGCATGTTCCACGTCTCGCCGTTGGGCCCGGTCCAGATGCCGTTTGCCTTGTCAGTCACGTCGTAGTGAGGGGGTGCGATCGCCTTGAGGCCGCACTCGCAGCACGTCGCCGCTTCGAACCACAGTTTGTCGCACTCTTCAGCAGACTTCTTGGCCATGCACGCTGCATAATCAAAGTTCATCGGCCCGTCCTCAGCCCAGAAGTCCTGGGTCACGATCGTAGTGCCGACCAAAGTACAGGACACCGCCCACAGTGGATTCTTCTTCTGGCACTCCGCCTCGTCCGCCCCCGACGTTGCGGTGGCTATCTTCTCGTAGGCTTTGTTGATGTTTGCCGCCTATGCCGGATACGAGCGCACCCCTTGCCTTTGTGCTGGCAGCAGGGACTAAGAGCGGGATGGAATGCCGAGGGCAGGTGTCCCGGGTCTTTCTCTGCTCAGTAAGCTTATCTCATACATTGCACCTCGCGCGAGTCGACAAGCGGGTCCACGTAGTCCGTCACCTCGGACACGACGTCTGGCGCCTCGCCATCTTCACCGGGGAACGGCCAAAACTTCTCACTCGGCGCAGCGGCGGTGTCGGTGGCGAGGCGCGTTTTGCTTGAACTCGCCGCGCCGAGCAGCTGCACGCCGAGCAGGGAGACGGTCACCACGCCTGTCCCCACTGCGAGCAGTAGTAGCGGCTTGGCTGTCGGCTGTTGGAGCGGGGTGGGGGTCTTCATTGCAGAGCGTAAAAGCGGCTAGCGGGGGAGCCGAACGAGTTTATTGCGGCGCAGTTATTGCGGCGCAGATTTGGGCGGAAAACTTTGGGCGATTTGGGTATGCGGATCGATCCGCCGCCACTCGTCACCGTCGGTCTTTAAGCTCCTTCTTGAGCACTTGAGCACTGGATAGGGCCGATTCCGCGTGGTACGGGACCCCTCGATCGTCTCGCCCTCCCTCTCTGGCGTGTTCATTGGGGGGGGTCATAACAAACACGGTACAGGATCGAGGTGCACGCTGCCGAAGCAGTGTCGTCCCCCCTCTCCCCGACGGCGATGGCGGTGTGACCGATCGAGCTACAAGAGGAACTTGTTCAGCAGGATCCGGGTTAGTCTGGCGCACTGCCTCACACTGGGCCTGAGATCGCAGCGACGCTTCCCGTCACCGTCTCGGGTTTATGTGGGATCGAACCACTCCGGGATGGGCAAGCCCATCGTTAGGAGCGCATCTGGTTAATTGTCAAAATTCCTGTTGTGCAAGAGGGGAGGGGGCTCTGACGGAGTGTGTGGTGGGAGAGGGCAGGGAATACTCCTTGGCCGTCGGGCAAGGGCCCGAGTCGGCCAGATCCAGTGCTGTCTGTGCACTAGGTCGATCTGCGAAAGCCACGCGCTTGACCGCGTGAACCGCGTCGAGCGTCGCCACCGGGTCAATATGCTCCGCAAAGCGCACAGCGCGCCGCCGCCGCGCCTCGGCCGCCGCCGCCGGCTCGAGCTGCTGAACGCAGCCGCCGTTGACGATAGCGAGCCGAGGTGCGGTGGGCGGAGGACTCAGGCCTGTCGCGGCTTCTTGCCGCTCGGGGCCGCCGCCTGCCGACCGAAAGACTTCGGCGGAGGAGGGCAAAGGCCGAGCTCGACGTGTTCCTTGAACGGGATGGTGAGCTTGTGCGGCGGCGTGCCCGGTACAAAGGTGCTGCATTTGCACCACTGCATGGTGCCTGGTGAACGCTGCACCGCATATATGACGCAGGCCCCCTCCGCCTCGGCCGCGCCGTACTTGCTCGCCAATGCCCCGGCGATGAGCGGGCGCGAGTAGGTCACAGAGGAGCCGAAAGCAAAGCCTGCGGAGCCGTCGAGGCGAAGCTCGCCACTCCGGTCCCGCACCGCCCCGTCGCCCGCACCCTTCTTGTTCTTCTTCTTGGGCGGCTGCGGCGGCTGCGGCGGCTGCGGCGGCTGCGGCGGCTGCGGCTTGGGAGGCGCGGTGCCTGATGGCGCCCCGGCCGCGTACCTCGCCCGTCGCTCCTCCTCCATATCCTGCTCCTCCTTCAAGTGCCGCTTGCGACGACAGATCGTGTCGTCGAGCTCGGAGAGGTACTTGTCATACTCGTCCTTGGCGCGCAGGGTCTCCCCGATGAAGGACAACGAGCGCGCCGTGTTGCTGTCGTGCGACGCCCGCAGCCGTAGTTCCGCCTCCGTGAAGGCCGCCTCCACGAGCTCGGCCGCGTTCGTAGCCCCGGTGACCAGCACTCCGTTGGCGCGCGCCTTGCGCAGGTTCGGCTCAATGAAGGCCATGAGCGAAGAGTAGCTGTTATCGGCGTCCATCGGCAGACCGATGCAGTGCAAAAGCCGGGGGACATACATCATGTGCGCCATCAGCCGCACCGGGTCCCTCATGACGTCGACCAGCGTCATCGGCTGGATCGTGCTCTCGGCAACCGGGATCCGCTGCAGATGCTCTCCCGCCGTGTGCCGCAGGATCGGGCAGACGAAGTCCTTATCGAAATCGATCCCGCCCAGATTCCCGAGCTTGAGGCTGGCGATGGAGGTGGCGCTGAACGCGCCAACCTTCATGTCGGTGAGAGACACGTCCTTGGAGTTGTGCTCGTCGGTGGCGAGGGCGTCCATGAAGAACTCGTCCCAGCGCCGCGGTATCTCCGCGTCTCGCTCCCGCACCATCCCGGAGGGGAGCCCGACCACTGTACGGCTGATGCCGAGCACCCACTTGCAGGCCTTGACGCAACCCGAGCGCAGGACCAGCTCGATGAACTCGTTGTTCGAGCCACCGTCGGCCTGCCACTGCTGAATGTCGGTCATAAGCTGAACCAGTCGGGCCTGCCCGTCGGACGAGGCAGCAGAGAGATCCGCGGCATTCGATTCGGGGCCCTGCGTTGCGCTAGCAGCGGAGAGGCGCTCTTGCAGATAGTCGAGATTGACTGCTGGCTCGACATCCTGCCAGTGTCCGTCGTTCTTGACCAGCCTCGCCTCCACCAGCGGAAGGGTGTCGAAGCTGACGCTCTGGCCGGGGCAAAGCAGGGCAGCCAGTGCCGTGAAATGGCTGAATGCCCCGTGCCCCGACCCTGTCCACTTGGCAATGTTCGGGTGGGCCTCAGTAATAAAGCCCAACCATCTAAATTCAAAGGGCTGGTCATGTAACGAGTTTCGTCACTCTCGTCACTCATTGCGATGTTCCTGCCGTGGCGAGCGGGGCGACCCTCTCCCGCCCGCAAACGCAAAGCAGCAATCCTCCAGCGCCCCCATCATGGTCTCGTGCAGAGGGATCGCCAGCGGCTGCTCCGGGCGCGGCGCCAGCACAGGCAGAACCAGCGAGGAGCGCGGCTTCTTCACCTCGACGGCAGGCATCGTCGAACGCGGCGGAACCTTCACCTGACAAGCGGAGCCCCCCAGGCAGAATTGCGAGCAAAGCGAGAGAAGAAAAGGCATAGAGGCGCCAGAGGCAGGGAGCAGGGGGGCAGGGGGGAAGAAAAATGCGCCTCAAGGGGTTGTAGGGAACCTCGCAGGGAGCAGCGATCCACGCCCACGTACTTGGGCGATCGCCCGACGCCCTTGTCGCCTCCACCTCCGGCGGGGGCCGTTGAAACTCCCGTCACAGACGGGTCGCCAAGCAGGTTGCGGCCCCCCTCCGCCGCCGTCACTTCGCCGTCATCGCTGCCGAGCCCACGCGTCTTAATCAAGGCTGGACTGCTCCGAAGTTCGCCCTGCACCGGCAATCCCTCCTTTGGGTGGTGTGCTGGCGCCTCCTCGCCAATCGGCTGCCCATCTGCGACCTCGTCATCGAGGAACGGGTCCATGCGAGTTACCCCGCCACACCAGTCACGGTCACACGGCCAGAGTGATGGCGGTCTCAGTCGATTCGATCAGTCGTTGCGCGGGCAGCCCCGCACACGGCTCACGCGAAAAGAGTCGCAACTCGTGCGTCCCCTGCGGACCGCTCAGGAATTCCCTGCCCGGTTGTGTTCTCCCCCCCCCCTCCCCCCCCCTCTCATCTCTCATCTCTCATCTCTCATCTCTCTCTCTCTCTCTCTCTCTCTCTCTCTCTCTCTCTCTCTCTCTCTCTCTCTCTCTCTCTCTCTCTCTCTCTCGCTCGCTCGCTCGCTCGCTCGCTCGCTCGCTACCCCCAACTTTTTTCTTTTTTCCTCGCCATGTGGCGGTGTGGACTGCGATGCGATGTGTGTGTGTGTGTGTGTGTGTGTGTGTGTGTGTGTGTGTGTGTGTGTGTGTGTGTGTGTGTGTGTGTGTGTGTGTCGTGTCTCGAGAAAAAATACTTTGGCGAGCCAAAGCAGCCGAGAGATAAAATCTCCGCACAGGAGCCTAGCGCAGCGCGAACTCGCCGTCTGAGCCTAGCGCAGCGTTCGCTGCGCGACCCTTTCTTTTTTTCCTCGCGCTCGATGTCTCCGCCCGAGCGTCTCGGCGGGAGTCGCAACGCGATGCAGGCCACACAGGCGGTCGTGGTCTCGCTGGGGCCATTGGCACCTGCGCGAGCGGTCGGCCGCGGCCGCCGCCGTCGCCGGCGGCTCGGCCAAAAGCTGTGCGCGGGTGCCTCCGTCTTTGTGCTCGGCCAGCTGGTGCTGCACCGCTCGATGACGGCCGAGGGCGACGCCTCCAGTCAGGCCGCCACAACCGACAGGCCAGACCACGACTCGGCCGCCCGTGTGACCCCGCCTGCCGGCGGCGAGGCGAGTGGCAGCACCGCCGACCTCGACGCGCTCTACCCTCCTGAGGACGGCGGCTGGGGCGACGGCGGTGGCGGCCCGTGGCTGGACGCGATACGAGACGCTTGGACTGCCTCGCTCGGTGGCAGCGGCGGCGGCGGACGTGGCGGCGGAGGTAGCGGCGGTCGGGCGTTGCCTCCGCTGCCGCGCCTGATCCACCAGACGTGGAAGGACGCCTTCCCTCCGCGAGAGCTCTTCGCGCCGCGCTGGCGCGCCTCCCTGCAGCGGGTCAACCCCGGCTGGTCCTATCGGCTATGGGTGCGCGGATGGAGAGCGCGCGCGCGAGAGACAGAGAGAGGTGGCGGCGGAAGCGGCGCAGGTCGCTGCAGTTGCGTCCCGACTCGTCTGATCTCCTGCCTCTCACCCGCCATCTCCTGCCTCTCACCCGCCGTCTCCTGCCCGCGACTCGCTGCTCATCACGCGCCCGACCGCCCAGTTGACACCCCCCCCCCCCCGCGCGCGCCCCGCCACAGACGGACGCCGACAACCTCGAGCTCGTCCGCTCCCACTACCCCTCCTTCCTGCCACTGTACCAAGCATACCCCTCGCCGATCCAGGCCAGCGAGCCGCCCCGCTCCCGCCCGCACCCGCCCCGCACCCAGCCGCCCCGCCACGCTCCCAGCCCGCCCGCCCCTCCCGAGTCCAGCGGGCCGACGCGGCGCGCTACCTGCTCGCGCACAAGCATGGAGGCGCCTCTGCCTGCACCTCGGCTGCGAGTGCCTCTGGGCGGAGCGGGGCGCGGATCCTCTCTCGAGCCGCGCGCGCGCTCTCTCTCTCTAGGCGTCTACTTCGACCTCGACTACGAGTGTTTCGCACCGCTCGAGCCGCTCGTCGCGGGCGCGTCGCTCGTCCTCTCCTACAAGGCGCCATATCTCCGCATATCTCCGCATATCTCCCCATATCTCCCCATATCTCCCCATATCGCTTACAAGGCGCGACCCGCACTCCCACCCGACCCGCGGCCCGCCCATTGCTGTATGCCACTACCCCTCCCCTTGCCCCTCCCCTGCCCGCGCTGAGGCGCCCTTGTCCTCTCGCACACGGCTCGCGGCACGGCCCCCGGCAGACACTTCTCGGCAGACACTCCGCTGATCACTTCTCTCAGACGCTTCCGAGACCAACTCCCAGGCACCTCTCCCGAGGCGCCTCCCCGAGGCACTTCCCTCCTTCGGCCCGCAGGAGGGCTCCGACTTTGCCAAGGGCGCCTCCAGCCCTCCCCTCCAGACAGACACGGCTCCTGGGGGCGCGAGATGACCCGAGATGACCCCGAGATCAGGCGCCTCCAACTCCGTCTTCGGCTCCGCCCCATCGCACCCGCTCTGGGCGGTGGTGCTGGACGTGCTGCGCAACCGCTCGCGCACGCCGCTGTCGGGTCACACCGCCGTGCTCTTCTCGACAGGCGAACCCTCGGCCTCCGCACCCTCGGCCGCACTCGGCCACGCCTCGGCCGCACTGCCCCATCGCCGCCCCCATCGCCGCCCTCCTCCTCTGCACAGGGCCGGCGGTGCTGCGCGAGGCGCGTCACAGACTCCTCCGCCTCACACGCCTCCGCCCCCCACGCCTCCCCCTCCCCCCCCTCCCCCCCCCCGCCCCTCACACCTCACTGGAACCGGCGAGGTGAGGCGGGAGGTCTGAGGTCAGGCGCTGCGCCGGCTGCTGCGGCTGCGGCCGGGCGAGCAGATCTCGGCGCCGATGCTGACGCGGCTGCGCGAGACGCTAGGCATCGCCGTGCTTGACTCTGCGCTGCTCCACCCGGTGACGGCCGAGCGGAGGGACCTGTCCAAGGCGTCCGCCGAGGGTGAGCGGCCGCTCTCCGCGGTGTGCACGCACCACTTTGTCTCCTCGTGGGTGGCGCACAACTCGTCTGCGCACGCTGACACCGAGCGACGCCGGCGGGAGGGGCACAGCCACGCTGCTCTCGAGGGCGCGGGCCTGAGTGTACTGCAGGAGAATGCGTGGTGAGTTGGGTGAGAGACGATATTGACATGTGTCCTGAGGATCGATGGAAAGATCTTGCGTGCATGTCATATTCTTTGCATGTCATATTCTTATCATATACGGCATACGGCACTTCTTCCTTGTAATGTGCATGTATACATCGATATACGCACAGTGCCATCCTTCCTCATGCGACTGGCGCCGTGATAGGCGGTCAGGCCTCAGCCCTCACCGCCGTCGCCCCGATAGGGCCGGACGAGCATCCAAAGCGCCTCGCTCGGAGTGATCGCCCACGCCTGACAGGTGTGACCGGCGGATGTCACGCCGGTGTGCTCACCTCTCTGTGCCATCTCTCTCTGGCCCGCGCCTCGTCGTAGGAAGAGATGCGTCCACCCTCGCCGCCGAGGGTGTATCGCGTGCGCCCGCCGAGGTCGAGCCTCGGCCGCCACGGCAGCGCGAGGTCGCCCAGCATCCGCCACTCCGCCTCGACCGCCGCACCGTCGTCTACAAGGCGCAGCGACTTGAGCTCGACCGAGCGAGCGGTGGGCGGGACAAATCGCTCGATCCACGGGTCGAGGTTCGCGAGGTTGCGCTCAAAGGTGCTCAGACCCGCGAAGGAGAGCGTCGGGTCCGTGAAGGTGCAGTCCTCGTCGTATAGCTCCGCCGTGATGCGACCGCTCCAGAGGTATTCGTTCTCTTCAAAGTCGGTTCGCAGGCCCGCCAGCACATCGCCAGCATCGAGTGACTCCTGCTCACGCCGGCGAGGTGCTGAGGGCGGCTCGCCGCCCGAGATGGTGTTGACGAGCGCAGTCAGCGAGGAGACGAGCCCTCTGGTTGCACGGCTAGTCTCGCTGATCTCATTGAGCTCGCAGCACACAGCGTGGCTCCTATCGACAGGCCTCGTTGCCATGCAGGCTGGCTGCGACGAGAGTGCAGCCGCCGAATCAGCAGGAGTGCACAAGAGAATCATCTTCAACTTCGCCAAAGAGGTCGGCAGCCCGAGCGCCGTCGACCGCACCGACTACGGCACAGCCTCCGGCAGCGCCCGGTGTCTATCTGTAGGAGTGACTTTAAGAAGTCACTTAGTGACTTCTCGAAGTCACTCGCCCCGCGCGCGCACAGTACGTGCTCTCGCGGCCGGCCCGTGCACCGTGCGAGCCCCCGCGGACTCGGCCCCAGTCGGGCCGCGACGGGAGAGGCTCTTAGAGCAGCTTGGCGGCGTTCACTTGGAGCAGTTGCACATTGGAAAATGGTTTTCTCCTTCCTCGAGACGATTGCGCTGGAGCGCTCGTCCCCGCGGGCAAGAGGCGATATACGGCGCTGCCTCCGCACCGCTACGCGATGACACAAGCGACGCAATCCCGGCGACATGCAGGCACCCAATGCTGTGCCGGAGGCTGACTGGTCGAGGCGGTCGACCTCGTCGTGGCTCTTCCACGCGCCGCCGCTTCTCGTGTGGACAGCTGGTTCGGCTCGGACGCAGTGGACAAGAGGACCACCACATTCGCTGGCACACCGCGGCCGACGCTGTCTGCGCTCCCACGCAAGCGCCGGTATCCAAATCGAATGCATGCGTTACTGCGCTTACTGCGCGCCGCCGCCTACCTCAGACTCTCAATACCAATGCGCACGCTCCGGCATCGACGACATTGGTCTGCGCGAATTCGAGGCGCCGTGCGACGTTTGAGGCGGACAGCCCTAGGCGACACGGCGTCTGTGCTCGTGTTTATTGTGCTCGTGTTCAAGCAAGAAGCATCAGTGCGGGTACATGCGGTCCTACCACTGCACACAGTGCTTCCCGGACCCGAGCCAGGTTGGCTATGCGATCAGCCCGGTCGGGACCAAAGCTGGCGACCCTCACCGGCCCTGCTTTGCCAAGCACCTGCTCGAAGAGGAGCCGTCGCATCGGGCACAGCAGCGCCCCTCCGCCGCGACGCGGCGATCGTCCATCGCCGTACCGGCGACCTGAGCCTGCGCCTGCGCCGGCAGCGGCGGCGCCGGCCGCCGCGGCGCCGGCAGCCGCAGTGCCCCGTGCGCGCCGCCGCATCATCTAGAGGTGAGACGGGGTGAGTGGCGAGTGTGCGGCGGCCGGAGGGCGCGTCAGACGACCGCGAGGGCGGCCCACATGCGGAGTGACTTTTAGAAGTCACCCTGTTTCGGGCGTCTCACCGGCGTACTTGAGGTGCTTCAGACGGACGCAGTGGGCTGTCGGCAAGGTAGGTGAGTGTCTAGGGGTCGTCTCTAGGCTGGTTAGCCTTGATTTTGATCAAAGATCGGCGCAAGAAACGGTCGCGATGCCTCGTGTGAACGCTTGGAAGAGTGACTTCTCGAAGTCACTCGGTCCGCGGGTCCTACGGAGAGACACCGGGGCTTCGCCCAGCATCACCACTCGCAAAAAAAGAAAGAACCCCCCCAAGGGAGGGATGGCACCACTCGCAACAGCTCTCGCGCGCCGCGGTCTATTTTCTTCTCAATAGTGCGAGGGAGTTTTGTTGTAAAATTCTTCTCAATATCTACGAGCCGTGAAAGCCCACACATCCGATATCCTGGAGCGGCTGTCTGTTAGAGACCTAATGCTTCTCCTGGTTTTGTCGTGCTCTCTATCCCTCCTGCAACAGCCTCGCCCGCCGCTCGGGCTCGGCCTCCGCCCGGCGCTGCTCTGCGGCCGCCGAGTTGCGATCGTGATGGCTGCAGACGAGGCGGCGGCGCAGCGGGCGGAGCAGGCGGACAGGGCAGCAGCAGCGCTGGCACAGTTGCCACCTGGCCTGTACAACCGCGTGAGCTTTCAGAGCGGCGGCATGAAGCAGGCCTACGCGGAGGAGGAATGCCTCGTGCTGTGGGAAGCGCTCAAGGTGCGAACCCCGTCCTCTCTCACTGCCACCCTCTCCTCTCTCTGCCACCCTCGCCCACCGCTCTCCTCGCGTCCAGGCGTGCTACCCAACCGAGGCGGACGCGCTCGCGGCAGTCGACAAGAACTCGATGACCGTCAATCCGTCGATGAACTCGCCCTCCAAGATCACCGAGACGCACGCGCTTCTGGTGGAGCGCTTCGGAGCGGGCAAGGCGTCCGAGATCATCATGCAGAATCCGGGCGCGAATGCTGCACGACCTGACATCTCCGCCGTCCCCCATCGCAGCACTCCCGTCGCCGCTCTCAGGCATCCTCACCTGCACGGCGGCCGCGGTGGCGGCGCAGAGCGACGACGAGATCCTGGGCGTGACGGCGCTGGTGGCGAAGGTCGACGAAAACAAGGGCAAGGCGCGCCCTCGACGCGACTCTCCTGAAGCGCCGCCCACCCTCTCGCCCCGAGCACCCACCTCGCCCTCTGCGCTAGGCGAGGCTCCTCGTGCTCGGCGGCCTCCTCTCTGTCGTCTCGCTCGCCGGGACGGGGCTGCTCGCGCGGAGGCGCGACCTACGCGCGCGAGGTGTCTTCCGCTCTTCCAGTGAGGATGAGAAGCTGCGCCGCATTCGCAGCAATTGACGGCATGCGCTACATCCTACTCGCGACCACAAACCACATGCCACCTCGAGGATGCCACCTGCCACCCATGACGCATGAACGGTTAGCCAGATCGCGCCGCGATGGCCGACTACACGGTGTCGGTGAGCCATTCGGACCTTGCAGTAAACCTTTTCCTTCTAAGCAGGGCTACACGATGACCCTATAGTGTGGGGGTGTTCCTGGCGAGTTGTGATGAGTACGGGGTGTGGACCCTGAGTTGACCAGGGGTTGTGCGCCGGGCCCTCCTGCTCGGCTCCAGCCAGTAGACAAGTCTTGTCACTAACAGAGTTGAAGGAGCTGACCTCGGGGCCGATGTGACCAAGCGCTGGTAGCGTGGTTTTACCTCACACCCATGGTCTCACAGTGTGCCGGCAGTCGCCGAGCAGTGTCGCTCACACAAGCCGCAGCACAAGTGACTGAGGGCCAGTGAGGGCGAGCCCATCGCTGTCACAGCTGTGGTAGCCGCACAGTAGACTGTGTCAACTGTGCAGAGCGTGTGAGCAGCCGAGGAGCTGCTCTCCAGGCTTCTGACGCAAAGAGCTGCATGCCATCGAAGGCGCTGTCGAGGTTCGCCGAGCGCGGCGCAGGTTGGAGGACACCGTCACCGACGAGCGCGTTGGACTTTTCACTCCGGACAAAGACGGGCACACAGCGGACGGTGCGGGGCGTGTGCCCGTCATAGCGGCGAGGCGCGGGACCGTCTGTGGCGAAGTGGGTCGCGTCCTCCGATTTCCTCAACTCACGGTCCGCTCCCTCTAGGATTAGACTAGCCAATACTATTTTGAAGTTCATATATGAAAATACCAACTTGCCTATGTGCACGTCTCCGCGGCGGCGGCCCGGCGGCGGCCCGGCGGAGCGGGTCAGAGCAGCACTGCGCCGGCCGGCGAGCGACTCTCGACTATAGTATACGGGCTCTATTGAATGGCCTCAAGGTGCTCTCTAGGGCTGCCCTATTCCGCTCGCCCGGCTACGTCGCCGGGCTTCGAAGGAAAAGGTGTTTCGCTCGGCACGGCGCCGCGGAGAGCAAACTTCGGCGTTCGTCCATTGTGGAAGCTGGACGCACGTCGGCAAGTGGGCCGCATGACCAGGCGGGCTGCTGCTCAGAATCTGGGCCCTCGGCGCTCGCTCTCGCGCTCTTCATAACGGCTTTGCCCCCTCCCTCCCGCGCCGACGTTGGGCAGCCCGACCACGACAACGCCAGTGCCACCAGCCTGCAACTCGAGGCGCCGTTGAATGAGCACGAGAGCCGGTGCGCGACGGCGGCGCGGGTGATGCAGCCCAAGGTGACGACGACGACGGAGGGGGCGGCGGCGGAGGGGGCGGCGGCGGCGGCGGCGATGGCCGCGGGGCCGGCCCGCCCGCCTTTGCTGCTGGGCTGTGGGCATCATCACAGCTCAACGTGAAGTCCAAGGCGCGGAAGCTTCGGTGGGCACTTTTCGCGTCCTTTGCCACGCATATGGCGCCGCGGACCGGTCTACCGGACCCGCCCCTGATCGTGTTCTCTTCTTCGACTCGACCTTCCGCGACCTTCCTCGACTCGACCTGATGCTGAGTTCCCGCACCAGCCTGCGACCAGCGCAGCTCAGTGGCAGTGTGCGACCAGGGCGAGTGGTAGACAGTGGACATGCGTGAGGCTGCTCTCTGAGCGATGACACTAGCAGGGGCATCGTGAGTGCCATCGGAGTCACTTGTATTACGACGCCGCCACGCTCGCAAGGGCCGCCTAAGCGCCTAAGCACCCTAAGCACCCCCCGCTTAGGCCGCTTAGGCGCTTAGGCGAGTGACGGCCGGCTGCCCGTGGCCTGGCGTGCCTCCGCCGTGGGGAGTGGGGTGAGCGCCTGGGAGAGCCACTCTGCAAGTGGTGTGCGAGCGTGTCCTTTAAGTAAATAAATAAAACGGTCAAACTCTGAGACGAGATGGGATTTAGGGACATGTGTCCCCGCCCTGCACGATCTTGGTGGGTGAGGGATCTTCAATCCGTCCCCTACCCTGGTCACTACCCGACACTAGAAGAGCGGCAAGAGATCTCTGGGGGGGCGCGGGGGCCCCAGAGGGTGTCCATGCGGGGGGGAGATGGGGTCCCTTGGCCCGCCGCAGGCGCCGATTTTTTCATTTTTTCTTTTTTGAGGCTTGTTTCATGGGAATTCCGGTATACTTGCGGCCATGCTATCACGCCTTGCGACAGCCTGCCGGCGCTGCTGACCGTGCCATGCTGCACAATTGATCACCTGCATAGCTCGCGGCCTAAGTATCCAGCATTAAGTGACGACCTGATCGTACGGCCAGTAGGAGGTGTCCTTCCACGTGTGCACGCTTCTGGCGCAATGCGCGTCGCCTCGGATTGGCTGCTGGCACTCTCGAGGCTATGCCTACACAGCCTCGCGCGCATGGGCAGTCAAGAGGGACCACGAACCTTCTCAGGACAGCGCCGGTGCCTCTCTCTTGGACCGGCAAACTTGGTGTTCTCGTGTCACCAATGTGGGACCAGTGCGGCATCGCGCCATCGACAGCTCTGAACTGCGCCTCACCACTGACCGGGAAGGCCGCCAAGGGGCCAGCACAGGTCGCACATTGAGGCAGCAGTCAGCATTGCATGTCTGATAGCTAGAGCAGCAGCGTCAGGGTCGCAGGGTCGGATCGTGTCAAGCCTCTCGCCCGGCCGGCCGCGTGCAGACGTCGGCCTGTCTGCTGACTGGAGTGATCCTGTCGGCGGTCAGTACGACCGATCAGGTTGGAGGTTTCTGATGGTTGGAGGGTCTATCTGTATGTACTCCTCGAGATCTCTCCAAATCTGCCCTCTGATCAACCGATCATTCGGGAAGTCGGTGCTAGTGGAGACTAGTGGAGCTGGAGCCCCGTCCTTTCCGCACTGCTGCGAGTCCTAGTGTGGACGGTTTTTTTGCGGTATCTTGATGTATCTCTCCAATATCTCCTCGCATCTCCCCGTATCTGCCCGTGTCTGCCCGTATCCGCCCGTATCTCGATTCTCGTATCTCCTGGTGTCTCCCGGTATCTCCCGGTATCTCCCGGTATCCCGCCATATCCCGCCATATCCCGCCATATCCCGCCATATCCCGCCGCGGATACCGCGAAAAAAATCGTCCACACCAGGGATGCTGCGCGGCGCACGGTGCCTCCGGGGGCCCCCACGCCCCCCCAGAGCAAGAGTTGGGGCTGCGGCTACGGCTGCGGCTGCGAGAGGGGCTGCGAGGGGAGGGGCTGTGGTCGCGGGAGAGCCGCTGTGTAGCCTTTAAATAAATAAAACGGACACCTCTACTGTGAGATGGGTAAAAAAGAAACAGGTCCCCGCCCTTGCGATGTTTGTGCAGGGTTCTTTGTGGGTGTGGTCGGCGACTAGCCGGGGTCCGTCCTCCCGATGGGGGACTAGCACTTTAGCGTGCAGTCGGCCGATGTTTTCTTGAGTCTACACGAGCTATCCCATCTCGTCTCAGAGTTTGACTGTCTTCGGGTGCACAACTTGCACTGAATCCGATGTGCTCCATATACACGAAAACACAGGCCATCACACGTGTCTTGCTCCACTCCGCTCAAGTCGGTGCACGCGTTCTCGCAGTTTGACAAGGCCAGCACGCAACGCTGGGTCGTGGCTGGCATGCATTCGCAGCCTACCTACCTGCGCCTCCCGCGCAATGCTCGCCGCGCACTCGAGGCCGCGCGCTCGATCGGCCAGAGCGCTGGGATGGAAGCCGACCTCGTCCGACGTGCGGCGTGGGTGCCACGTCCTCTCCAGCTCCTCCCACTCCGTCAGCCTCGAATGCTTTGGCGCCGTAATCGGCACCTCCGGAATGGTATGAAACCCGATCGTCCCCGCGCTCGTCTCCGGAAGCTGGGAGAGGATGAGTGCTGCGGCTGTCTTGGGCTCCTGGCGAGGTTGGGGCGCCGGCCGAGCCTCACGCGTCTTTGCCTGCCGCCGCATTTCAGCGAAGCGTCGGTCGTACGTGTCTTGGTTGGACGTGACAAAGTCTGCCAGCTCTTGCCTGACTCGCTGCAGGTCCGCCACGGCCTGGTGGCCCCTCATGGTCGGTGACTGAAACGTTTGGAACCCAAGAAAAACACTCGAATTTTCTTTCTTTCTGCACCGCTTCATTTCATTCTGTTTGCACCGCCGCTTCGGGGTAAGACCTTGGGTCGACCCACCTCATCACTGCTCGGTTCATATACAAACATCGACAATCTAGGTCTTCCTTGAAGTATGTGAAGAGGGGGGGTTGGCTCTCGAGGGTTAGCAGGGTTTGTGGTCTGTTCAGAGCAGTCGTTATACGACCGCTTTGGGACACATCCATCGGATCCTCCCCGGGCTTCATCGCCATCATAGCAATCCAATCATTCCACACTTTGGGATACTGCTCCTCCCGCACAATCTCCTGCAGCAGCCTCCAGTACTCCCGCTGCACTCCCCTCGGCGAGAGTCGGATCAGGTACCCATCTAGTTTGTCGCTGCCTATGGCCTTTCCTTTTTTGAATTTCCTGATTGCCGCCTCGCACGCCGACCACGTCAACACGTCATCCGCAAGCCGTCCTGTCCCCCCCACCCCCGGGGGCTGGGCCTCCGCCCTGGCTGGTTTTGTCATTGCTAGGAGCGCCTCGACCGCCGCCATGTCCGCCTCCCTCCGCGCGTTGATCTCCTTCCCTCTCCTCGCCGCGGCGTCGCGGACTTCGTCCCCTCGCACCACGTGTCTTTGCCAGACCTGCTCTCCCGTCGTCTGGCAGGTTACCCACTCGCCTCCCTCATACATCGCAACCAGCTCCCCCCCGCCCGCTCTTCTGCCCATCTCCTTGTTCAGAATCTCGAAGACTCTCCTGGCATTGTTGCCGCTATTCTCTGTCGCAACCTCCTGCATCACCTCTGTGAGTTTCTCCCCCCCCGTCCGCGGGCACAGGAGGAACTCCTGTTCAGCGTCGCGTCGTTCGCGCTCACAGACCGCCAATGCCCTCGCGCGCCTTTCTCTATTCGCCAGCTGCGGCTGAGCCTCGAGGGCCTTCCAGAGCTGCGCCAGGTTTGGCTCCCTCCAAAAGCCCTCTCCCTCCCATTCCCTCCTATATCCGTCGCTCATCGTGCCGCTCCATTTCTTGACCTCGTGCCGTATCCTGAACCACTTCGCCACTTTCCATCGCAGCCTCTCTCTCTTGGACTTAGGTGGCGGCCCTCGGCCACCCGCCCCCTCGCTTGCCTCCCCGCCTCCCGCGGGCCGCTCCTCTCCGCCCGCTTCGTCATCGCCCTTTGCCCTCCTGGTCGCGACCACCGCCCTAGCGTGTCGCGTGAGCACCCTCGTCAGCCTCTCGAGCCGTTCTGAGGCGCTCAGCTCCTTCTCCGCATCGGCCTCCACCTCGTCATCGAACACCTCCTGTACCGTCTTTGTGAATCTCTCCTCCACCTCCCGATCCATGAATGTGCTCACCCCCCGCTCCCGAAACTCGCGAGGCCCTCCCACACCACCTACTCCTCCAAAGAATTCCACCGCCACCGCCCTGTGGTCGTCACCGCACACCCCCGGCATTGTGCTCGTGCGCCCCATACATGACGCGAGCCCAGATGTGACCACCCAGTTGTCAATCTGCGTCCCTGCTCGGTAGGTGGCTTCGTCCGCCATGGTCAGCAGCTCTCGGCCTCCATCCCCCAGCATCTGCTGGAACAGCCTGTCCGCCAGGGTCGCCCTCTGTGCGCCCCTTTCCCTCAGCGCCTCCTCCGTCTCTGCGTTGAAGTCCCCCCCGATCATGTACTCTCCCCTCGTGGCATCGAGCGCCTCGGTTAGCTTCTCCCACGTCGGTCTCACCACCTCCGCCTTCCTCTGTCTCACCGGCATGTAGACCCCAAACTGCGTCCACTTCCTGCAGCTGGCCACTTCCTCTACCCCGACGCTCACTATTCTCCCCTCCTCAACTTCGGTCGCCACCGCTCTCCCTTCAGTGTCCCTATTCTCTACTCGGATGTGAGTGGGGTCCCACACGACCAGGACCCCCGTATGCATCTCCCCCGATATGTGGTCGCACCAACCTGGCGTGCCGCACCCGTCCAACCCTCTGGTCTGCAGCAACGCTATCGCCTCTTCCAGCTCTCGCCTAGTCTGTTTGGTGTCTGCGAGGGTGGCGATGGTCACACACCCCTGCTTGATGATCCCTATCACATCTTCTAGCTTCGCTGTCGTGTCATTCCCTGTATCTCTCACCCGACTCGCGCCCCCTGTCCCCCCTCTCAGCTCCTCGATCTCCTCCATCGTCTCGCCCCGCCTTTCCAGGTGCAGCCCGCACACGTTGAGCGTGAGGCAACACGCAGGACGTTCTTTTTGCTCGCTTCTCCTTCCCCTCGCTTTTGTCGCTCCCCTAACCCCCCCGCGCGCTCCGCCTCGGCCCGCCCCGCGCCCGTTGCCGTGCAGCGCACGCATGAGCGCATTCCACTCCTGTATTGACATTTGCCACACGTAGTCTGCCGGAACTCCTAAGTGCTCGAGGTCGGGGTCTGTGAGCGGTTCCTCCCCCCGGCGCACTCTCTCCTCATCCAGCCTGTGCAGCTGCCCCCTAGCATCCCTGCACCTTCTGTTACGCCTCCGCTCCCACGACTGCAGCCTTCCCCTGCCCTTGCTCTTCCTGCTCCCGCCTCCCCCTGCTGGCTCCCGTTCGGCCGGCGGTGTCTCCGCCCGTGCCTCTCCCCTCCCTTTGTCGGTGTCCAGGTCTGTGCTGGCCCCCGCGCTCTGTCGTCCCTCCCTGTATGCTGGCACGCCATAGAAGGCCAAGTGTGGGTCCATCTCCCTTGTCCTTTGCTCTCGTCGCCATTTCCGCACGCGCCGCTTCCGGGCCTGAATCGGTAGGAGCCGCAGCGCAGCCTGCGTCAGCGCCTTGCGTTCTGTCGCCCTCCAACCCTGTCGCCTCCGCCTGTTCATCCTGCGTGGCCGGCGCCTCTCCCTTGCTTTACGGGTTTCATACTGGCTGGGTGTGAGTTCGTATGCTCCCCACGTGGGCCAGGGCGGGTACCATGACGGGTCGAACTGGGGTACGCTGATCTTTACAGGCGACGGCCCCGTTTTCTCCCCTGCTGCACCCCCCCCCTCACCCGCGGCCTCGCGCTCGCGCCCCCCGCATGACCACCAGCGCCACCACACAGTCAGGCGTCGGGCCCTCTCATGCACTTCGCGCCCTCTCGCAGCCATCCACTGTCTGACTCCTCTCCACCATGCCCCCACCAGCGCGAGCGCTATTGCGGCACACGCGGGCAACCCGCAGCCTCCCCACCCGCCGCTCACCGCCTCTTCTTGCCACTGCGGCCGCCGTCCGGGCCTCCCGCCCGCTTCCCGCCCGCCATATACGAGACCGACTCCGACTCCGACATGTTCGAGTCCGATTCCGAGCTGTTCCCCTCGCGCGCGGCGCGCCGGGAGATCGGCACCCCCATACTGAGCCTGTGCCGCCGCAGCTCCTCGGCCGCCGTCTCGTAGGCGGCCTGGAGCTCCCCCTCCTTCCGGATCGCCTCCGTCTCCGCCGTCATCGCGCCCTTCCACGCCGCAAACGCCTCGGCCCGCTCCGTTTCGCCCTCCGCGGCGTTCTTCTTCTTGAATAGCTCGCGCCGCCGCCTCCCCTCCATGTCCACAATCTTCTGCGCGTCGCGCATCGCGCGGCCGAGGTCCTCCCGCGCCTCCCTCAGCGCCGCCTCGCGCTGCTCCGACTCCTTCCGCGCCGCCTCGCGCTCCGCCGGCGTCGGGCCAGGCGGGGGGCCCGGCGGGGTCCGCTTCGGCCCTCCCGTCTGTGCGCCCGACGTCGGCCCGCCCCGCCCCGGCGCCGCCCGACCCGCTCCCCCCTTCTCTCCTCCCTTCCCGCTCCCCTTCCCGCGCCCGCGCCCAGCTCCGCGTCGGTCCGCCATCTCGAGCGCACTCCTGCGTACCATGATCTCGCGGAACATCGGGTCCGGCTTGCCGCTGTCGATCGCGGCGGCGACCGAGCCGTACCTCTCCTTGTACTCGGTCGCGCACTTTTCGGCGTGCTCCGTGGTCCTGCGTCCCGGGGGGCATTGTCGTGTCTGTGCTATCCTCCCCGTCTCTCTCACTCTCTTTCTCCCCGCACCGCCGCCAATCGCGCAGGTCAGACGAGCGGTAGTCGAGGCGCAGCGGCTTTGAGGCCTTTGTCGCCCCCTCCTTGCGCATAAAGATTGGCACCGCCATCTTGCCAGGCAGCGCCTCGAATGGTCGCTGCGACTTGATCTCAAAGAGTAGCTTGTTCGGCTGGGCCACGCCCGGTGAGAAACCGAGCCGGACCGAGACCTCGTTCTCATCAAAGTAAACCTTTTGGCCGCTGTGCTGCACGTTGGCTCGCAGCTGGTAAATCTGAAACGCCTGGGTCATCTGCTTCTGCACGCTGGCGACAGCCTCTGCGTAAACCTCGTCCGAGCCATACCTCTCCGCCGGCATCAGCAGCGCCGAGGGGCAGAGCAGCGTAGCCCGCACATCCACCTTCCACTGGTCGAGCGGCGCGAGCGACCAGCCCGCCTTCTTCCACATCATCGTCTCGGGCAGGCACTCCTCCTTACACACGACCATGTGAAGATCGTGGCGGAACTGGCCCGCCCGCGACTCCTGCACCACCCCCTTGACCGTCGCGGCGCAGCCCGTGAAGTCTGGGAACGGGTTCGCGCCCCACCCCGCCGCCGGCTTGCCGAGCTCCGCTCCTGCCAGCAGCGCCGCCACCTCGTATTTCAGGAGCACGCGAGTCATCCCAAACTCTCCATCCGGGTGGCCGAAGACGTTGTTGATCACTCCCTCATCCACGGTGATCGTGCCAAACTTGAGCAGCCAGTCTGCCATCTCGTGGATCCCCTCGGCACCCCCGTCGCCAAATCCGCGCCGCTCGAGGAGTCCCACGTAGAGCCCTCGCAGCGCCTTGTGCGTGTTCCGCAGCCGGTCCTCAGCCGATCCCTTGATGCCAGGCCCCCCCTCGGTGAAGAGCACCAGCTCCAGCGCGTCGCTCTGCGCCTCCCGCATCCGATCGGTAAACTCCGCCGGCATGTTCTGGAAGGGGTCGGCTTCGTAGTCCGCGTAGTCCAGCAGGGCGTCTGCCCTGCCGCCGCCATCGGCCGACGCGCCGCCCCCCACGGGCGTGCCCTCACCCGGCTGGGCGTCTTGCATCTCCTCGTCCAGCTGCGCGTCATCCGACATCGGCATCCGCCGCCCGGGCGATGGCATCGGCGGGGCGGCCTGACCACCGCCAACGGCAGAGTCTCCCTCCTCCAGGGCGGCTCCCGCCTCCAGGGCGGCTCCCGCCTCCAGGGCGGCTCCCGCCTCCTCGTCCCGCATGATGGGCTCGAGTGCCTCCGCCAGCGCGACGTCGCAGTCAAACCCTGGCTTCTGCCAGCGTTGCGTCCAGTCTGTTCCCCAGTCATTGAGGTTGAGGGTGATGGAAAGGGCGTCAGCCCCCATCGCGCGGGCGAGCAGCAATGACGCCGTCGTCTGACCTTGGTCCCGGCCCCGAATCTTCTCGAACTTGGCGTTGGAGAGCCCCGCGAGCGCGCAGGCGTCGGCCACCGCCGGCGAGTAGCCCATCTTGTACCACTCCTCCGCAATCTCCCGTCTCTTGGGCTCGCCCTCGAGATGCGCAAAAGGGTCGCTCTCCGCCCCGGCTAGCGTCGCCTTGGCTTGCTCCGCTGCTTGCAGCAAAAGGGATCGGTGCTCCATCCAGAGCTCCGCCCCGTCGCGCCCATCATAGTACCTGTCCCAGCGCTCCACGTACTCGGTCACATCTGGGGCCTCGGGCGCCCAGACATAGATGAGGTCGGCTTCACCAAACATCTTTTTCCCCCACTCCCTGCTCGCGGCGTCGGCTAGGGCGGCGGGCGGGAATGTCGGGTTGAAGCATCGGGCTTCTGAATCCATGGACTCAGCAAAGGCAGCGATGTCGATGCACCGCACCCTCGCCCAGTCAGAGACCTCGGGGCGGTGCCCCTGCTCGAGCCAGCCGACGCAGTAGCTCTCGAAGTCTTCGGTACTCACATGGCCAAGCTCTGGCATGCTCTTCATCGCCTCCAGCTCTTCTTGGGTTCGAAGTGGCAGGCCTGCGAAACTGACACCCACCTGCATCGGGCAACACACAGGCACACCCGTACATAGGTCACCACTCGCCCATGTGAGTACATCTCTCGCTTCCTCTCGTGGCGGCTGCGTGCCAGTGCCCTTTTCTGGTGCGAGTGGCTGCCAGATCGAACCCGGGGGGAGGGGGGGGCCAGCGGGGGCCCAGCGCGGGCCCAGCGAGGGCCCAGCGAGGGACCAGCGAGGGACCAGCGAGGGACCAGCGAGGGACCAGCGAGGGACCAGCGAGGGACCAGCGAGGGCACAGCGCAGCTCGATCTCTCGTATCGGCTCGCACTTTTGGGTGCAGCCCATCCTCATCCTCCATCGTGCTCGACACCGCCTGAGGCGAAGGCCCAGACACAAGTCGGGCAAGCAGGCCCCATGTGTGCGTGGTTCTGTGCTACTCAAGTTCAACCCCGTGCAGCCCGGTCGTGCGAGCATCTGAACTCCACGCGCCGCTAGCACGGGGTGTACTACAGCTACTCGGCCGCCGGCGGCGGCAGCGGCCACGAAGGTGGCGGCGACAAGGACCATCTAGGGCAGCGACATGCGCCTTTTCGGCCAAATTGTGTCCAAACTCAAACGGCGCCGCCGAGTTTTCCAGGTTTACAGCAAAAGAATTTATAGAAAAGGAACCGCGGAGCTGCTCGAAGAACCGTGTGTTTACTTTATGGCCCTTTCCTCGCGAACGCGCACCCCCCAGGGCTAGGGCTCTCTTGCCCGCAACCCGTCCCCGAGCATCCGGCCCGCTGGGTGCGCTTCTCAGCTCCCCGGCCTCGATCCCCGGCCCTGAATGTGAGGTTAATGACTGCATTCCAAGTGCTCCAACCATCAGGACGCCTCGTCGACGACGACGTCGTCTTGCCCAGCCGCCTCCTCTCGACTGGCCCCGCGCTCCCCGCCCCACGGCCGCTCGTACTCGACGTGCTCGAGGCACAGCCCCGCCGCGGGCGCCGTCGGGCCCGCGGCGACGCGGTCGGCAGCGGCGAGTACTTGCTCGACGCTGCTCGCGCTCCTGCACCCGACGCCGACCTGCGCGGAGTCGAGTCCCGAGTGGCGGCAAGATGGCGCGAGCGGGGGCGGCTGTGCGGTGTGTCTCTGTGAGGAGGAGGGGTTGTTGGCGGCGGCCTGCAGGAGCGTGCCCGCGACGATCCTCGCCATGTTGTACAGGAAACCGTCTCCCTCGAGGGTGATGGCGAGCCCCTCGCCCTCGCACCAGCGCACGTCGCAGCGGTGCAGCGTGCGCACCTGCCAGGCAGGGGCCAGTGAGGGGGTCGGAGCGGCTCACGACGGGGGAGGGGAGTACGCCTCTCGCGCGATGCTGCCGGGGAGAGGTGGTGCGGGGGAGGGGAGAGGAGAGGAGGGGAGGAGAAGCGAGGAGAAGCGAGGAGAGGGGAGGAGAGGAGGCGTGAGCACCGTGGTGCTGCGGCCGCCTTTGCTCTGGAAGGATGCAAAGTCGCGCCTCCCCTCGAGCAACGCGCCTACGGTGCTCGCACGGGCCCCCGACGCTACACGCGCGGCGGCGGAGAGATGGCCCTCACACCAGCCTAGGGCCACCTGCGCGACGCATCGCCTCGACGTCGACGGTCCCGCACCCTCCCTCGCCGCCACCGGCCCTGTCCTCCCCCACGCCGCCCTCGCCGCTGCCTCGCGCCTCTTGGCAGACCCTCCGGCAGGCGGCGAGCACCGCAGCAGGCTCGCCTTCCACGCGGTACACATATCGCTTCCACAGGCACGCGCTCGTCGACGAGCCCTTGCGCGCCTAGCGGCCACGTCCTCGACGCGTCCACGACATGTCCACAGCCGCGATTGGCGACGAGCCCATTTCGCCGCGCGCCAGCGCAAGCGACAGGCAGCGCACGTCGGGAGGCAAGGCCGCGTTGACGGCGCCGGTGAGAGCAGTCAGCGCCGTCGACTCGGGCAGGACGGCGTCGAACTGCGCCACCTGCCCGCGCGCCGAGACGCCGGCATCGGTGCGGCCCGCCGGCCAAAACTTGACCCGCTGCGCGAGCACCGGCCGCAGCCGCTCCTCCAGCACGCCCTCGACAGTCCTCAGCGGGCCGTCAGCCAGCTCCTGCTTCTGCCAGCCGTGGAAGCCGCCGCCCTCGTAGGAGAGGACCATCCAGTAGCGGCGGCAGCGTGGGTTGCGCCGATCGATCACGCCAGCAGCACGGGCACGGTGCTTCTCCTTACGGGCCTTGCGGGCCGCATAGATGGTCTCCCACTCCGCCTCTGTGCGCTCTGCGGCCCTGTCGCGGAGAGGCCCGTGCGCGTTCTTTGATGTGCCTGCAGCGGTGGATGCCATCTGTGGTCTCTGGCCGCAGCGGCCGCTGCGCCGCAGCGCCGCAGCACGCAGCAACGCACCGCGCACAGCACTTTCGTTTCTTTTCCCTGATCTCACGCCAAATTTGTAGAGCCCCAGCCTACTCCGCGTGAACTCTCGAGGGATCTCGAGTTGCGGAGCTCCCAGCTGAGGGTTGTACGAACTCTGTTCACACAAAAACACAACCCGGACCCAAGACGCACAAGCACAGACAGTCGAGAAGGGAGAGACAGCAACGACAGTCAGAAGCCAGCGCTGGGTACCAAGGCGAATGCGATGACGGCCTCTAGTGTGAGTGTGAGTGAGTGCACACACACACACACACACACACACACACACACACACACACACACACACACACACACACACACACACACACACACACTCTAGTGTGAGCTCTAGCTAGTGAGCTCATGTTCACAGCCTTGTTATTGAGAGCAAAATACCTTCCTCGACTGTCTGAGCTTGTGCGTCTTGGGTCCGGGGTTGTGTTTTTGTGAGAACAAAATACCTCGTATGGCGCTGTGCCCTGTGCGCTGTTCACACCGAGCTCCGAGCAGCGAGGCCTTTGCAACATATCTGAGGCAGTCGTCTGCCTCGCGGCGCACGAGCCCACCGGGCTCGTCGCGGTCGCCTTCGAGTCAGGCGCTTGCCACCTTCTCGCCACTCCGGCTGACACCGATTACGCGGACTCGACGCCGTCCGCCCTCTCCTGCCTCAGCGTCGGGCATCAGCGTGGCACGCGCTGCCTCGCCTTTGCCACCACGACCGCCACGGACGCCGTCGCGCTCGTGAGCGGCGGCGATGATGGCTGCGTGCACATTGAGACCTGCCACGTGAATAGTGCACGGGTCGCCGGTCGCGGCTGCCAGGACTGCCACGGCCAGGCCCAGGTGGCCACGTCAGCCCCGCGCGATTGCCCGATTGAGGCCGAGCGTGAGAGCGGGGCGACGACCAAGCGGCGCCGCCTCCTCATCGACGAGGTTGTCGCGGACTCGACCCACTGGGCGGTCCCGCTCGGCCGCTCCGTCTGCGTCGGCCTCCTCTCCTCCGGGCAGGCGGCTGCTCCGGCCTCCGTCACACCCTCTCTCTCTCTGGCCGATCCCCGACCTGGGGCGCCTAGGCAGCCACGGGACGCTGCCGCACGCGACGCCACTTCGTTGCACCTCTCCGCCTCTCCCTCCCCGAGGGCCCCTTCCTCCGCCTCTGCGTACCTCCGCCTCTCCCTCCCTCCGCCCCTCCCAGGCCGTCGCACGGCTCGGCCTCCTCGATCACGCCGTCGACGCTCTCCAGCTGGTGGCACCCGCCGGCACCGTCGCCGCGGCTACCTTTGGCGGAGTCAGTCTGTGGGCTCGAGGCGGCGGCGGTGGCGGGGCGGGGGCAGCCAGCGGCGGCGAGGGCGAGTACGTGCCGGAGCACGCGTCAGAGTACGTGCCTCTGCCTCCGCGCGATCTCGCTGCGGCGCGCGGCGGCGCCGCTGCCTCCCTGCAGTGCGACGGCTGGGCGCGCTCGCTGGTCGCGTCGCCAGACGGCGCGTGGCTGGCGGCGTGGGTGGTCGTGGCCGGCCTCGACGCAACGGCCTCCTCCAAGCTGTGGCTGTGGCGCTGCGCCGACGGCAGCCCCTCCCCCACCCGCCCTCGGCCGAGCGACGTCCGCCACGTGTCCGCCACGTGTCCGCCACGTGTCCGCCACGTGTCCGCCACGTGTCCGCCACGTGTCCGCCACGTGTCCGCCACGTGTCCGCCACGTGTCCGCCACGTGTCCGCCACGTGTCCGCGATGTGCCATGTGCCCAGGCGCCGACTTTGAGTGCGGCGGCTTTGGAGCTCCGATTAGCGCGCTGGCGTGGCGGCCAGACTCGGCTTGTCTGGCGAGCTGCAGCGGCAGCGAGGTGCTGCTGTGGCGTTTCGGCGCCGCCACCGCCGCCGCCCGCTCCTCCGCCCTGCCTTCGGGTCCCGCCGGCCGCGCGCCACGACGGCATCCGCCGCCCTCTCCCGCCATCCATCGGACACGACCCGTGACACGTCCTCCCGCCATCCATCGGACACGACCCGTGACACGTCCTCCCGCCATCCATCGGACACGACCCGTGACACGTCCTCCCGCCATCCATCGGACACGACACGTGACACGTCCTCCCGCCATCCATCGGACACGACCCGTGACACGTCCGCGCGACTCGTCCCGCCAGGCTCGACGCTCGCGGCTCGCGGCGGCTCGTCTCGGCCGCGTTTCGCGCTGACGGGGCGTGGCTCGCTTGCGGCGCCAGCGACGGCTCGCTCCACCTCTTTGCTTGCGAGGACGGCGCCTCCGCCGCGAGGGTGATCCGGCCGGTGCAGCCTCGCCCCGCCGCCGCCTTGCGGCCGGCGCCTGCGGGGCGGGCGGCGGCGACTGCGCCAGAGCCGTTGGGGCTGGGCGCGGTCGAGATGGTGCGCTGGCTCGGTGGATCGACCCTCCTCGCGAGTGGGCCCGGGGCGGTGGCGGTCGTGGCGTGCGTTGTGCCGCCGGAGCTCGAAAGCAACGCGGAGAGCACGGTGGCGAGCATGCGTGTGGAGCACTACCCTCCCGCGCCAGAGGGCGTCGCTGCGGTGCTCTGCACTGCCATAGGTGGAGGGTGGAGGATGGCGGAGGGATAGCAAGCATCCGTGCAAAATAAAGATAAGAAGTGGTCCCGCGCGCGCTGCCGCTGGGCCTGGGGGGGAATAGGACCGCCGCAAGTGGCGTGGCGCGGGGGCGGTTGAGCATCCCTCCCGGCGGGGCCCCTCTGCGCCGGGCGGAGGCGTCGGGGCCCACTCCGCTAACGTACGCTCCGACCCGAAAATTCGTGGAGGGCCATGAAATTTAAGGTGTTGCTGCGCAAAAGGGGCGGGGCGCGGGCGCGCGCAGCCCGCCGAGAGCGCTCACTTTTTGGAGACCAGACCTTTCGATGGTTCATGGATCATGCTTTCTATGTCTATCTATCATGCTTCATGACACGAACGCGGTGGTGGGAGCTGGTGGAGCTGTCAGCTGATCGATCCAAGCGGGTGGGGAGTGGGGGGCATGTGGCTGGGCATGCAGGTCCGCCTGTCCGCCAGTCGGCCCGGCCTCTGACGTGGTCCAGTTCGTGGTGCTGCCGCTGCATTCGCTGAAGAAGAGAGGTCCGACTTGATTGGAGGCACTGGAGGCGATGGGGGTGGCGAAGCCGAAAAGGGAAGGTTGGGCCGGGCCGTGAGGGGCTGATGGCGCTGGCCAGCGCGGGGTGTGAGATGCCGTCGTCGTCGTATACTGCTGGCCCTCGCCCTCAGTTGCCAGGGCTGTGGGCTGCAGAATTGGCGTCTGTGGCGTCTACAGGCTCTGCAGCGTGATGGCTGGCGGGACTGCGAGGCCGGCGGCAGCGGAAGGAGAGGCTGGGCACGAGCCGGGAACAGGCTGGCCAGGTCGGTCCGCAGGTGGCTGCGCTCGGGCGAGGCGCGCGCGCACATGGCAGGCCGAGCAGGCTCGGCATATGGTGAACCCCCGATGTCGCGATGCGGCCCGCTTTCCGCGATCATTTCGTCCGTCCAATCGAAGGAAGCGCCGGATCGCCCATGTTATGGAGTTTTAGCCAAACTTGCCCCGATGTTGTTAGGTTTTTCAGTGTACGTACTTATAGCTTACTGGGAGAAAAGAGAGAGGGGGTTGTGTTCTCTAGGCCCCTAAGGGCCCTACGCGCGGCGTGAGAGCTCGGAAGCGAGCTTTGCACGGCGATCGAGGATGGCACGGTTCACCCCCTTCACCGAAGCGATGGAGATGCGTTCCGCGTGGTGTGACACAAATGAGAGGCGGGAGTGGGGAGGGTACGCGGTGCGGTGTATGTAGCTCTTACGTACATTCCCGGAGGAGGAATGCTGACGGGGGTTTCAGTGTATGTGGCTCTTCGTCCTTTTTTTGCACATGATTCGGATTTTCGCTATTTGGTCGTGTGGGTGTGTATTCCGACGCGGGCGGGCGCCTTGCGGCAGAGCCCTTAGCCACCCTTTGTCTTGCGCGGTCAAAATCGCAAACTGCAGCACCGCCGCGCTTCTGGGTCGACATCAACGCCTGTCGGGTCAAGAACAAGATTATCTAGATGAAAACAGCGCGTATGGCACCTGCAGGCCTAGCGGCGACTGTGGCTGCTGCCGCCGCGGTGGCAGCCTACACGTGGCGCCGGCGCCAGCACGCCCGCCGCCGGCTCCGAGCCCACTGCTGGTGGGACGTGCCTCCTGGCCTACTCGCCGTGCTCGAGACCTCCGTCGACGTGTCCACCGTCGAGCTCACCGTCGGCGCCTCCGGCTGCCCGTCCGACGTTGAGGTTTGCGTCTTTCCCAACGCAGCCTGGGAGGCGCGCGTCGACGTGGATGGGCTCGCCTCGCTGGCTTCGCTAGTCGCCATTGTCGTCCCGTACGCCGGCATCATGCCGAAGCACCTCGATCGCCTGAGGGCCATCCTCGGGGGCCGACTGGGCAGCACCGGCGAAGGCGGCGTCGCTCTCCACAACCTTCACCACAATGGCCCAATCACGGCTGAGGTGCGGATCCACGCCTTCGCCGCTACCACCCTCGCCGCCGCCCAGCCCGCCGCCGTACACGCCCCATATTCCATCCCACTCGCCCTTCTCCCGACTTGCGTGAGGAGCCTTCTGAGCAGAACGGCCTGATGGCGGCCGAGGCGACATCCCACAGACACATCGCGTCGCACCTTCCTCTGACCCACGCCTCCCCGTGTCTGCAGATGGCCATCGCCCTACTCCTCGCCGCCGCCAAGCGGCTGATCCCGGCAGACAGGCGGATACGACAGCACGACTGGCGGCCGCGCGGGCTTCCCTTTGCGGGCGCACAGGTGGCGCGCTCTCCCACCCGATGGCCAGGACCGGTGCAGTCGGCCTCACTCGGCTCACTCGGCCTCCACCCTTCGCAGGTGGATCCTCCCGAGCCGATGGTGATGCTCGACGGGCGCACCGCCCTCGTCCTGGGGCTCGGTGCGCGCGCCTCGGCGTGCCAAGCCGCGGGAGGTCGCCACGCTCTCACTCGGCCTCCTGTCCCAAGAGGTGGCGTCGGCAGCCGTGTCGCCGCCGTGTGCGCCGCCCTCGGCATGGCCGTCCTCGCCACGAAGCGAAGCGCGCGGCTGGGCGGCGAGGGCGGAGGGTCGGGCATCGAGGTGCACCACTGCAGGCCTGCATGTGGCGAGCAGTCCGCCCTCATGAGCAGGTGGGTGGCATGTGACTAGGTGCACCCGCCCGGCGCGCTGCGCGAGCTGCTACCGCGCGCCGACGCGCTGCTCGTCTGCCTTCCGGGGACGGAAGAGACGCGCGGGTGGGCGGCGGGCGGAAGCTTGGCGGTGGGCGCGGCGTCTCCTCACGCTTCGACCTGCGAGCAGGCTTATTGGCGCCGAGGAGCTCGCGCTGCTGCCGCGCCACGCCGTCGTTGTCAACGTGGGCCGCGGCGCCGCCGCTCGGCGAGGGCGCGCTGCGCAGGGGAGGGCCGCGCTTCACCCGCTCTTTGGCTGCGAGCAGGCGCCGTGATCGACGAGCACGCCCTGTATGCGGCGCTACGGGAGGGGCGGCTGCACGGCGCGGGGCTTGACGTCTGGTGGAGCTACCCGGCGACGTATGAAGAGGCGCTGTGCACACCGCCCTCGGCCTTCCCGTACGGTTGGCTCCACCACGCGGCGTGTTTGATTGCAGCGAGCGTGGCACCGCTCACGCTGGCGTCGGTTGCGAACAGGCGAGCTCGACCGCGTCGTGCTCTCGCCGCACCGCGGAGGAGGCATCGGCGTCGCCGACCTCGAGCTCGCGCGAATGCGGCGCATCGGCGAGATGCTCAGCGCCGCCGGCCGGGACGGCGTGGAGAGGATGCCGCATCGGTGGGACTTTGGGCTCGGGTACTGACCCCCTCGCCTGGCGAACAGGCCCAGGGCTGCACACACCTGGCACACACACATACCTCACACGAGCGCGCACACACACACTCTCTGACGACGACCGCGCTTGGAATGTTGGAATACTCGCATATAGAGCACAAGAGCTCGCTCATGAGCTCGCTCTACGACACGGCTCGTCTCTCAACTGCATGTCCAACTTCATGTCCATGTGTCTCCGCTTTGCATCGCCGGCCCATATGGCCATGTCTGATGTCTCGTGACATGACGCGACGCGAACGCGCGAGCCACGAGGAGTCATGGGAGACAGAGTGTGTATATGTGAGAGTGTGTGTCATTCCCCACCACAGGTCACCGCACATACATCGATGTGTTTGTGTTGTGAGCCCATGTAGCATGTTGCCATGATCTCATTTATTTTGATACACCGGCTTGCTTGTTTTCCGCCCTCCAGGTCCAGCCCCCTCCGGCCCCTTACAAAGTAGACCGGAGGGCTCTACGACGCCTTCACACTCCAGGGGGCTGCATTTGATGTACCACAACCATCAAGTAGAGCATGAATGCGGTACAGATGCTCGCTCACGCACCGCATCGAGCAGAGCCAAGTGGCCGGCGAGGGAACGCTGCCGGAAAGTGCGTGCCACTCGCTGCCGCTCGCCAGAGAACGGCGCCTCGTCGTCGTCGACCTCGCCGATGGCGGCGACCGCCGCCTCGCAGCAGCGCTCCAGCAGCGCCAGCGCGCGCGCCTCGTTGTCCGCGGAGAGAGGCGCGTCGCCGCCCGCGCCGGGCAGGAGCAGCTCGCCGTCGTCCTGCACGGCGCAAAGCCGGGCGGTGGCGAGGAGGCGCGGCGGCAGGCTGGCCCTCGCAGGGCGCGGCGAGGTCCGCAGCGGCTGGGCAAGCCTCTCGCCGCCTGAGCCCCGAGGGGCCGGGGCTTCGCCCTCGAGAGGCGCCGGAGGGGCGAGCGGCGGGGCGAGAGGCGGGGCGAGCGGCGGGGCGGCCAGCTCGAGGTCGAGGTCGAGGCCGAGGTGGGCGGCGAGGAGGAGCACGCGGCCTACGCCTCGCACAACCTGGCGTCCTCCCGGCCAGCCTCGGGAGGGGAGGGTCGAGGAGGGCAGCTGCGCAGGCCGAGCAGGGAGGGCTCGGCGTCGAGCGCCTCGCAAGGCGGGAGGGAGAGGCGCAGCAGCAGCGGGGCGGCGCAGCAGCCCGGGTCCATGCCGTAGTGGAGCAGCATCGCCTGCGTCGCGGGTGTGCCGGGGCGGGAGTGGAGGCAAGGCGGCGGTGCGGGCCGGGCGTCGGGAGAGGGGCCGTGTCTTCCTGCGCGTCGAAGCGGCCGTAGCTGATGCACAACTGCTCGCCCTCTCCGACAGGCGCCACGGCTCGCAAGCAGAGCCGCGCGCCGCCGCCGCTCCCCTCGACTGCGAGCTCGAGGTTCGGCGCGCAGCGGTGGTTGCAGAGGTCGAGGAAAGGCGCCAGCACGAGCGCCCCGCCGGGCAAGCCGGCGCCGGCCGGTGCGGGCAGCGAGATGGCTCGAGTGTCGAGGAGAGCCTTCGCCCAAGTCCAACGCTCCTCCGAGTAGGCACGCTCGACGAAGCCGCCGCCGCCGCCCTCGCCGCCGGGAGCGGCGGCTGCAGCCGCGGAGAGCGCCGGCGCGAGGCGTGGCATCAGCGTCTGGCGAAGCTCGGCCAGCTCTCCGCGCGAGGCATGCGCTGTCCAGTAGGCGTCTGTGCCGCCGAGGGCCTGCGGGCCGATGGAGGGGCAGGGGGGGGGAGGGGCTGAGACGGCGTGTGCGACGAGGAGGGGAGGGAAGAGGAGGAGGAGGGGAGGGAGGAGGAGGAGGGAGGAGGAGGGAGGAGGAGGGAGGAGGGAGGAGGAGGAGGGAGGAGGAGAGAGGAGGAGGAGGGAGAAGCCGCCCCGCCGGCTGCCTCGAGCTCATCGTCGCTCCACGCGGAGGGAGGCACCCCCGCCCCATCGAGCCGCGGCAGCAGGCCGAGCCACGCCGCCAGCGGACTCGCCGCGCCGCGCCCTCTCTCTCGCATCAGGAGGTGCATAACCAGGAGGTGGTCGCACCACTCGCCCTCCTCCTCGAGAGCGGCCACCACCGCCGCCGGCAGTTCGGCGCGCGCCGTCGCCCCGCTCACCAGAGACGCCGCCGGCAGCGACACCACCACCTCATCCGAGGCGATGGGCGACGCCGCCACGAGCCCTCGGCCACCAGCGGAACAGCCGACGACAGCGACTCGCTCGCCGCCGCCGCCGCCGAGGGCGGCAAGGAGGGCGCGAGCATTGGCGTCCGACGAGTGGCGGCGCAGCGGCATGGGCTCGACCTCCACGACACACAGAGCACGCAGCAGTTGCGCCACCTCTTCTGCAGGCACCGACGGTGAGAGGTCCGCCGCAGAGCCGGGGCAGAGAGCCCGTCGAAGCTTGGTGAGCGCCCGCCACTCGCTTGCTGCCGACGCGGGTGGCACGTCGGAACCAACGTCGAGCGGCGGGAGCGCCCAGAGCTCAGCCTCGCTCATCGCATGCAGCCGAGCGGCACTCAGCAGGCCGGGCGGGAGCGGTGCGGCGTCGCTGACGGCAAAGGCGGTGCCGAGCGCTCCGAGCGAGGAGAGCGCGGAGCGGCGAAGCGTCGATGGCCTCTCCGTCCAGGAAAGATGTCGCTCGTGGATTTGGTGGGCTCCACTGTGGGCGGCGCAAATCGTGGGAGGCGTCGCCATTGGAGTCCTCTCACAACACTGGCGCGATTGGAGCACTGCGCGCCGCAGAGGGAGCGTGGAGCACTGCGTGCTGCAGAACGCACTGAAAAAGAATTTTTGTCGCTCGTGCTCCAAGTGCTCCACGCCATCGCACTGGAACGCTGGTTGGTTGGGCCAAATAAGAGGGACGTGCGGAGGAGATTTGGAAAAAGAAAAAATGCACCCAAATGGCGGAGATCGGCAGCCTTCCCCTAGCGGTGTGGAAAGCGGCCGGGCGAGGCGACGAGCGGCGCTGCTGTCGTGGCTCGAAAGCGGCGGGCGGGTCAATGCGACTTGCCGGGCGGGCGATGTGAGCGGCGTCACCGCGCTGATGCTCGCCGCCCAGGAGGGCCGCGAGCGGGTGGTCGAGCTGCTGCTTCAGCGCGGCGCGGAGATCAACCTGCAGAAGAGCGACGGCGGCACCGCGCTGATGCTTGCCGCCGCCAGCGGCCACGAGCGGGTGGTCGAGCTGCTGCTCCAGCGTGGCGCTGAGGTCGACATGCAGAGCAGCGCCGGCGCCACCGCGCTGATTCACGCCGCCTACAATGGCCACGTGCGGGTGGTCGAGCTGCTGCTTCAGCGCGGCGCGGAGGTCAACCTGCAAAAGAGCGACGGCGGCACCGCGCTGATGCTCGCCGCCCAGGAGGGCCGCGAGCGAGTGGTCGAGCTGCTGCTGCAGCGCGACGCGGAGATCAACCTGCAGAAGAGCAACGGCAGCACCGCACTGACAAGCGCCGCCTACAATGGCCACGAGCGGGTGGTCGAGCTGCTGATTCGGCATGGCGCGGATATCAACCTGCAGGACAGCAACGGCCTCACCGCGCTGATGACCGCCGCTGGCAACGGCCACGAGCGAGTGGTCGACTTGCTGCTTCAGCGCGGCGCGGATGTCACCTGCAGAAGAGCGACGGCTGGACCGCGCTGATGCTCGCCGCCAGCTACGGCCACGACCGGGTGGTCGAGCTGCTGCTGCAGCGCGGCGTGGAGATCAACAAGCAGAACAGCGACTGCTGGATCTCGCTGATGGCCGCCGCCGGCTACGGCCACCCCGCCACCGTGCTCCGCCTGCTGCGGGCGGGCGCGGATACGAAGCTGCGCTCTGCGAAGGGCGAGTCCGCGCTGCAGTACGCCAGGGAGCAGGGCCACAGCGAGTGCGTCGAGGCCTTCCGGCAGCACATCGCGGAGGTGATTGCTAACCACCGCGAGGCGGCGGCGGGCGGCGCGGGCGGCGCTATCTCGGGCGAAGCGGCCTCTTCCGGCTCGCTGGGCAACCTTCCCAGAGAGGCGGTGGACGCAGCTCTCCAAGGCGACGAGGCGGCGCTGTTGGCGTGGCTCGAAAGCGGCGGGTGGGTCAATGCGACTTGCCGGGCGGGCGATGTGAGTGTCACCGCGCTGATGCTCGCCGCCAACAACGGCCACGAGCGGGTGGTCGAGCTGCTGCTTCAGCGCGGCGCGGATGCCAACTTGCAGAACAGCATCGGCTTCACCGCGCTGATGTTCGCCGCCGGCAGCGGCCACGAGCGGGCGATCGAGCTGCTGCTGCAGCGCAGCGCGGATGCTAACTTGCAGGATAGCGCCGGCGTCACCGCGCTGATGCACGCCGCTGGCAACGGCCACCCCGTGACCGTGCTCCGCCTGCTGCGGGCGGGCACGGATACGACGGCGTGCGATGCGGGCGGCAGGACGGCGCTTCAGATGGCCAAAAGCAAGGGCCACAGCGCGTGCGTGCGCGCCCTCGAGGAGCACGCGGCGGCGCAGGCAGCGGCGAGGGCGGTGGAGAGTGCGGCGGCAGAGGCGGAGGCGGCGCGGCATGCCGAGGCGCTGCTGGCGGAGGAGGAGGCGGAGAAGGAGGCGGGGCGCGCCAAGGAGAGCAAGAAGGGGAAGAAGAAGAAGAAGAAAGGGAGGGGTGGCGGCGGAGGCGTTGGGCCGTCGCATGAGCCCGAGGATGAGGCGGGCGAGGCGGGAGAGGGCGAGGCGGCGGCGGCGGTAGAGGAGGCGGAGCTGGCGGCGGCGCTCGAGGAGAGCGCGAGGCTGGAGGGAGCGAGGCCGGTGGTGGAGGAGCGGACGCTTGTCACTGCGACCGAGGGCGGCTCGCCGTCGGCTGCAGAGGCGCCGGCTGCGAAGGAGGAGGAGGAGCCGCCGGCCGACTTCATCTGCCCGATCACAACCGAGGTCATGGTCGAGCCAGTCGTGGCGGCCGACGGGCAGTCGTATGAGCGGACGGCGATCGAGCGCTGGCTCGCGACCAAGTCGACAAGCCCGCTGACCGGCGGCGAGCTCGAGCATAGCATTTTGATCCCGAACCACAACTTGCGCCGGACGATTCGAGAGTGGCAGGAGGCGCGGGCGTCACTTTGAGCCCCCAGCCGGCGGCGAAGATTAGCATCTAGCGCAACGGGGGCAAGGGACCTAACTACCAAGCGGTGCCCAAGCCCGCGCAGCGCAGCGCCGGGGAACGCGATCCTTCGCGAGCGTGCTTGTGGACGACAGACGGACCCCACACTTCCGCGTACAGTGAAGCAGAGCCTGCGTTACACTAAACTGTTAGCGAAGAGGAAAAGAGGCTCTTGGAGCACTTGGAGTAAAGAAAGAAAGAAAGAAAACAGACAAACCCAGACGAGGGATGGGGGAGGAGGACAGGGTCCCCACCTGCACGAGCAGGATTTTGGAAGGACGATCAGGGGGACAAATGGGGCTGAAGTGCTGTCAGCAACGCGGAGCGATTTCTTGGCCGCTTCCCAGCCAGCTCGAGCAGCTCCCTCCGTTCCGCTCGCCGCTGCGAGCACCCGGGCTCACCGCTCGTTGCGTCCAGCATGAGAACACGCAGCAGACGAGCGGCAGTCAGCCTGCTCGGGCTCATCGGCGGCGCGCACGCGACGAGTCTGAGCCACTTTCGCACACCCGTATTTGCGGCCGCCGGTGCTCGGCGCTGCATGCAGCGCTCCTTCCGGGCCGCTGCTCCCGCCGAGGCGGCGGCGCCGCCTGCGGCCGGCGCGAGCAAGGGCGGCGTGGCCTACGACCTGGCGATCGAGGCCAAGTGGCAGGCGCACTGGGAAGCGCACCGAACCTTCGCCACGCGCCGCCGCGAGGGCAAGCAGAAGAAGTACGTGCTCGACATGTTTCCGTACCCGTCGGGAGCCGGGCTGCACGTCGGGCACCCAGAGGGCTACACGGCGTCCGACATCATGGCTCGCTACTGGCGGATGCGCGACTACGACGTGCTGCACCCGATGGGGTGGGACTCGTTCGGCCTGCCCGCCGAGCAGCACGCGATGAACACGGGCACGCACCCCGAGGTGACGACCAAGGAGAACATTGCGAACTTCAAGCGGCAGCTGCGCTCGCTGGGCTTCTCATACGACTGGGAGCGCGAGCTCGCCACGACGGACGTGGGGTACGTCAAGTGGACGCAGTGGATCTTCCTCAAGCTCTTCGAGCAAGGCCTCGCCTTCCAGGACGAGAAGCCGGTCAACTGGTGCGCCGGCCTCGGCACGGTGCGCAGCAGCAGCAGCAGCAGCAGCAGCAGCAGCAGCAGCAGCAGCAGCAGCAGCAGCAGCAGCAGCAACAGTAGCAGCAGCAGATGAGACGAAGAGACGCGACGCCGGGGTTTGGGCGCGAGCGGCGTCTCTCCACGGCGTCGCGTGTGCGGGCAGGTGCTCGCCAACGAGGAGATCATCGACGGCCTCTCGGAGCGCGGAGGCTTCCCGGTGGAGCGCAAGCCGCTGCGGCAGTGGGTGCTCCAGATCACTGCGCTCGCCGACCGGCTCGCAGCAGAGCTCGACGGGCGCGCCGGCCCGAAGGTGCGAGCGGTGGTCGAGCGGCGGCATCACTTGGCGGGGCTCGCCGCTGTAGGCTCGACTGGCCAGAGGGGACGATGACGATGCAGCGGTCGTGGATCGGCAGGTCCGAGGGGGCGGAGATCGCCTTTGCGACCGAGGGCGGCGGGGAGGACGTGCGCGTCTTCACCACGCGCGCCGACACGCTGATGGGCGCGACGTACGTTGTGGTTGCGCCAGAGCACCCGCTCGCACGACGCGTCGGAGAGAGCGACTCGGCGGTCGCAAAGTACATAGCGGAGACGGCTCGCCGACCCCGTGCCTGCAGCGGCGCGAAAAGACGGATGGCTGCCCCAACCGCCAGCTCGTGCCCGCGTAGGCGAGCAAGTCGGACCTCGACCGGACGAGCGCTAAGGCAAAGTCTGGCGTGCCGGCGGGAGAGAGCGTCGTGCACCCGCTGACCGGTGCGCGCCGCGCCTCTCCTCTCCCGCCGCTGCTGCTCTCGCGGCTGCTCCACCCTCCCGCCGCGCACACATCCCATCTCCCCTCCCTCCCCCTCCCTTCCCCTCCCTCCCCCTCCCTCCCCCTCCCTCCCCCTCCTACCGACTCCCTCCCCCTCCTACCGACCCCCTCCCCCTCCCTCCCCCTCCCTCCCCCTCCCTCCCCCTCCCTCCCCCTCCCTCCCCCTCCCTCCCCCCCCCTCCAGGCGAGCGGCTGCCCGTCTGGGTGGCGGACTACGTCATCGGCTCGTATGGCACGGGTGCCGTCATGGCGGTGCACACGACCCCCCGAGCTGCGCCACACGACACCACGACACCTCCCCCCCCTCTCCTTCACGCCTGCAGCTGTGATCAGGTGCCGGCGCACGACGAGCGCGACTTCGACTTCGCGGCGGCGCACGGGCTGCCGGTGAAGCGGGTGGTCGCTGAGCCGGACGGCGCGGCGGAGGCGCTCGAGGAGGCCTTGAGCGGAGGCGGCGCGTCGGGTGGTGGTGTGAGCAGCGCCTCTTCACCTCCGGACGGCGTGAGCAGGCCTTCACCGAGCACGGCGTCGCTGTCAACTCGGGGCCGCTCGTCGACGGGCTCGCCACCGCGGAGGCCAAGGCCAAGGTGGTCGAGCTGCTCGCCGAGGCGGGGCGGGGAAGCGCAAAGGCGCGCCGCCGCCGCCGGCTACCGCCACGGAGGGCTACCGGGAGGGCGTGCTGACGGGAGGAGCCTGCCGTCTCCCGCCAGGTGAGCTACAAGCTGCGCGACTGGGTCTTTTCGCGCCAGCGGTACTGGGGCGAGCCCATCCCAATCTACTTCCCCGTCACGACGGACGGCGACCCGCGCAAGGGGGACGCGTACTCGATCGACTACTCGCAGCCGCTGCCGGCGCCGGAGGAGGAGGCCGCCCGCCGCGCTGCGCGAGACCGGCCGAGATGAGCCGAGACTGTGCTGCGGGTAGGTTGCGGAGGAGGAGCTGCCCGTCGCGCTGCCCGAGTTGGAGGACTTTCAGCCGGGAGACGACCCGCAGGGCTGCCTCGCGCGCGTGCTCGACTGGCGAGATGCAGCCGAGATGCAGCCGAGATGCGAGATGTCGCTGGGATGTCGCCGGGATGTCGCCGAGAGATAGCGGAGGGGAGGGGCGGGGAAGGGCATGGCAACGGCAGGGCGAGGACAGGGGCAAGGACAGGGGCAGACGAGACGTGCTCGACTGGCGCGCGGCGCCTTTTGACGCGGCTCTCGCGCCGCCCCGCGCAGGCGCTTCTTCCAGCGGGACGGAAAGTGGTGGGCGCGTGAGACAAACACGATGCCGCAGTGGGCGGGCTCGTGCTGGTACTACCTGCGCTTCGCCGACCCCGCCAACACGCAGCAGGCGTGGTCCGCCGAGGCGGAGAAGGCGTGGCTGCCGGTGGATCTGTATGTCGGCGGGGAGGAGCACGCCGTGCTGCACGAATTAATAATTCGTAGTGAATTAGCTGGTTAATTAACTAGGCGGGGCGGAGCACGCCGTGCTGCACCTGCTCTACGCGCGCTTCTGGCACAAGGCCCTCCTCTCGCTCGACCACTCCTCACGCCGGCGGTGCTGCAGCGTCCCTTCACAGCGAGGCGGCGTGCACAGGTCCTCCACTCACTCGGCCTCGTCTCGACGGCCGAGCCCTTCCAGAAGCTCGTCCACCAAGGCATGATCCTCGGCGCCGACGGCGAGAAGATGTCCAAGTCGCGAGGCGACACGCGCACCCGCGGCGAGGCGCGAGGCCGCCGCCGCCGCCGCCTGACGCGCGGCAGGCCCGCGCCCGCAGGCAACGTTATCAACCCGGACGACATCGTCTCCGCGTACGGCGCAGACGCGATGCGGCTGTACGAGATGTTCATGGGTCCGCTCGAGGCGGTCAAGCCGTGGCAGACGGAGCAGATCGCCGGCGTCGTCCGCTTCCAGAACCGCGTGCACGCGCTGGCAACCCGCGCCGACGGGTCGGCGGAACTCGGCGACGCGGGGCCGCACGAGAGGGGGAGAGTCGCCCTCTCGGCGCCTTCTTAGCCCCCCCCCCCCCCCCCCTTGTGCGTACGAGTGCAGGCGACGAGACGGAGCGGCTGATGCACCAGACCATCAAGAAGGGGACGGGGGACGTCGACGCCCTCTCCTTCAACACGGCCATCTCGCAGATGATGATCTTCTCCAACCACCTCGCCGGCCTCAAGCAGCTGCCCGCAGAGCCGGTCGAGAAGCTCGCGCTGCTCGTCTCGCCGCTCGCGCCGCACCTAGGCGCCGTGCACCCCCCGCCGCTGCCCCCCCCCCCCCTTCCCCCCTCCCCCGACCGGCACCGGCCGCCGCCAGGCGAGGAGGCGTGGCAGATGCTCGGGCACGAGCAGTCCCTCGCCTACGAGCCGTGGCCCGAGTACGACGAGGCAAAGTGCGTCGAGACGGACGTGGTCATGGCGGTGCAGGTCAACGGCAAGGTGCGCGCCGAGATCAAGATCGCCAAGGACGCGGCGGAGGCGGAGGCGCGCGAGCTCGCCGCCGCGAGCGAGAATGTGCAAAAGTTCCTCGACGGCAAGGAGGTCAAGAAGTTCATCTACGTGCCCGGCCGCATCATCAACTTCGTGGCCAAGTGAAGAGCAGCGTGTGGTGGTGTCTATATGATGAGCTTCCATTCGGCCACCGTCCACACAATTCCGTTCGAGATAGAGGCCGCATCTTGAGAAAGAGGAAAGTGTGCCGCTGCCGGCTGGGTTTAGATCTTTAGATACAGTATATAGAGGCCGCATCTCGAAAAAAGTGTGCCGGACCTCGCTGCACGCTGGGGCGTGGGGGACCCGCGGAGGACCGCCGGACGCTCTGACGCGTGACGGCGTCCGCGCCCGAGAGACAGGGCGGGGTACGATCTCGGAATTGCGCATTACACGGCCGGCCCGGGGGCTTGGAGTGATCGTGCAAACAAAAACATGCGGCGACCAGCACGCACAGCGGCTGAGGGGTGACGCACACCACAGGGCTCAGGGGGGCGGGACACCAGAGTTTGGAGAGATGAGAATGGCGAATGGCGGGTTTTAATAATTGCAAGTCGTTAAAGCGGTACAAAGAAGAGTGCGAAAATGGCGGGCATGGCGCATATATCTTTCCGGCCATTTCCCTTTCGCTGTCAAAGTATAAGTAACGAGGGGCTTGGCGTGCCGTCCCTGCCGTGGCCCCTCTATATTCTCTCCGCCGCGCGCCCCCGCGGCTCGTCGCGACCGTCGTCCCGCCGGGACGAGCCCGAACTCAGCGCCTTGAGTCTACGTCCTCTGCTTCTTGGCCGACTTGCCGTCAAGCTTGAGGTCGGCGCTGAGCATCTTTGAGCAGATAGGGTGGTAGCCGTCGCGGTGCTGCATGAAGGTCCGGACGGCGACAGCGCTCTGCTCCTCCCACGCGAAGAGCTCGCGGTAGAGCGGCCGCACAAACTTCATCCGCCCGACGGTCGCCACGAAGTCGACCACCTCCGGGACGATGAAGGCGGCCCGGTGGCAGAGGCAGACGCGCTGCCACCGGCAGCGCAGCTCGGCGTTGCGCGTCGCCGTCAGCTGGTAGAGCTCGTCCATCCGCTGCAGCGCGGCGAGGGGGAGGAGCGGCGCGCCGGCCTTGTGCGAGCGGGCGAGCAGCGACTCGAGGAAGTGCCTGCGGGTCGCGTCGCCGACGCGCGTCAGACGCGAGGGGCGTCGCGGCGGCGTGCTGTCCGGGATAGAGCCGAGAGAGGGCCGAGATCTGGCCGCGAGGGTCGGCGCGCGTCTTGAGCGGCGGCGGCAGCGCGGCGTACTCCTCGGCGGCGAACTGCCCCTCCGGGCAGGAGACCCACCGCTCGACGAGCTGCGTCGCCTTCGCGCCGAGCGTGTCGGGGTAGTCGTACACGCCCTAAGACACCAAGCCACGCTCTCGATCCCGGCCGACCCTCGATCCACACCTCGGCCGACCTCGTCGGGTCTCGGCTAGCTTCAGCCTGCATCGCGCGGTCGGGCATGCCTGGCTCGAGCAGCCACTTCTCCCACTCCACGCCGCTGCAGTCAACCCCCTCCTTGCCGCACCACTCGCAGAAGAAGGCGCGGAAGTCGGCCGACGTGAGCGTACGGCGCGCGTACGCGGCAATGTACGCCTTCGCGAAGGTCTCGAACTTTGCGTGCCCGCCGGCGACAGAGGTGAGGTGGTTGAGGAGGGCGAGACCTGTTCACGGCTGGGCGGTGTGAGAGAGACGCGGCCCGCGCGGGGGTGGCGAGGCGGAGGAGGGCGGCACTGCCCTTCTCGTACGGCACGGCGGAGAAGGCGTCGTCGGGGTCGATCCCGTCGAGGGGAGGCACGAGCGCCTACAGAGAGGGGTCGGGCGAGACGTCGGGCAAGACGTCGGGGAAGGGCCGATCCGGTCAAGGGGCGGGCCGGAGGGCCGTGAGGGGCGAGGTTGCGCCGAACTGACTCACCGCCTCCTCGAGGTGGGTGAGACTCTCCTACGGGCAGCCGGAGGGGCGGGTCCACGAGGCCGTCGGCTCGGCTCGCCCTCGAGGGTGGCCTCTCCTGCATCTGGAAGTTGTACAGCTCCTCTCCTCTCCTCTCCTCTCCTCTCCTCTCCTCTCCTGCATCTGGAAGTTGTACAACTCCTCTCCGTGTGGCGAGAGGCGGGTCAGGACCCGGTTCTCGAGCCAGCGGGTCCAGCCCTCGTTGAGCCAAAAGTGCTCCCAGGTGTGGTTGGTGACGAGGTTGCCGGTCCAGCCGTGCGCAACCTCGTGGCAGATGACGTTTGCGAGCGAGCGGTCTCCGGCGAGCAGGGTGGGTGTCGCGAAGGTGAGGCACGGGTTCTCCATCCCTCCGTACGGGAACGAGGGAGGCATGCACAGGATGTCATAGCGCGACCAATCGTACGCGTGGCCAGTCAGATCCTCCGCGGTTGCGATGAAGCGCTCCGTCTCGCCAAACTCCCACGCCACCGCCTCCACCATGCACGGCTCGGCCCACACAGTCGTGCGCGGCCCCACCCGCTTCGAGCCGAGCTCGCCGACGGCGACCGCGACCAGGTACGAAGGGACGGGCCGGTCCTGCTGGAAGGCGAAGCGGCGCGTCGAGCCGTCGCCGGCAGGGACCTCCTGCGGGCCGCCCTGCGGCTCGGCGCTCATAAGCGCCGTCGCCCAGGCGGGGACGGTCACCTCTGCATCGTACGTGAACTTGCACGTCGGCGCGTCGGCGCACGGGAAGAGGGCCCGCGCGTGGATGGCCTGACACTGGCTGAACATGTACGGCCGCTGCTTTCCTGCTGTCTGAGCGGGCGGCAGCCACTGCAGCGCCGACGACTGCGGCGAGGTCGAGTAGGTGAGGGAGACGGTCAGCTCGTTGCCGGGCTCGCGCTCCGCCTCGGGCACCGGCACGGCCAGCGGCGTGCCGAGGCACTCGTGCGGCGCGAGGCTGCGGCACTCCACGGTGTGGCCATTCACGGTCGCCGCCGTGACCGCGAGGCCGGCCGTGGTGTCGAGGACGAGCGCCTCGGCCGCCTCTGCAACGATGACTGTCCACGTGGCGGTGCCCGCGATCTCCTTGGTCGCAAAATCGACGCTGAGCGAGAGAGAGAGGTGCTTGAAGGAGAAGGCGGTCACGGACGCGAGCGTCGACTTGTCGGTCGTGCACCCGATGCGTGCCTCGGCGTCATGCGACATGTACACGACTCAGCGCCAGATTATTCTCTCGTCGGCAAGCTCGGCGGAAGCAGGGGAGCGGCGATATCTGCTGTCTTGCCGCTGCTCGGTGTTCTCGGTGGATATCCTTTGGCCGCCGCGTTGGGTAGCGAGGTGTGAACAAGTTCCTCGCAAGACCGAGGGTTCACCTTCCAAGCTAAATGGATTCGCGGAAGAAATCCGAATCGCATCAATACTCAAAAAGTAAAAAGAAATTTTCGCAGAGAAGCTCTGTGTAGTTGACCGGGCAAAAAAAAGAAAGAAAGAAAACGGACAACGCAAGGGCAACCCCATTCCTCCCTTGCGCTCTTGTTTCTTTCTTTCTTTCTGTGGGCACCGCGGCGGCACCCTTCCGCCACACCTCTGTGGCACTCCCCCCTCTCTTGTCGCTTTCTTAAGCGCCTGAGCTCCTCCCGAGGCTGAGCTTTCCCTCGCCCTGCGCGCTTTCTCTTTTTTGACCGGGCAACGCCATGAGCGCCGCAGGCCCTCAAAATAGCATCGTGCTCTGGGTCGCTGTGCTGCTCGCGGCCTGGTGCACCTTTGCTATGGGCGGCGTTGTGTTTGGCGTCAGCGCCTTGTTTCCCGCGCTCTATGCGCAGAACTACAAGAGCTCGGCTTGCTCGGCCCGGTGCTCCGCCAGTGCGGCGACCAGCGCTGCCGCAGTCGGGAGCTGGCCGGCGACGACCAAGCGGCGGCTGGCTGAGGCTGGCGAGTTCCTCAGCGGCAGCAGAGGCACGCTGCTGGAGGTGGCTGCTTCGGCCGTCCTCCGCGGGCGCTCGCTGCACGAGGGCTCGTTCTTCGACAGGCTCTCGGGCAAGGCGGAGCACAGTAAAGCGGAGCACAGTCCCGGCGAGAGCAAGCCCGAGTCGCGGAACAGGCACGACGCGCCGCACCGGCGCGAGCTCCCTCCCCCGCAGCCGCACGCGCACTCGTGCTCCGACCCCTGCCCGCTCGGCGTCGAGACAAAGTGCTGCGACCACCAGTTCGTGGCGTTCAGCCTCGCCGCCTCGCTCGCCTTCTTCCTCGTCGACGCCGCCGCGGCGCCGTGGGGAGAGCTCGCCGACCGGCGCGGAGGCAAGCTCACCCTCGCGTGGGCATCGCTGCTCAGCATCGCCGGCTTTGCCGCCCTCGCGGGCGGGGCGTACCTGCTCGACGACGCGATTGTGACCGCCGGGCTGCTCGCGCTGGGCTGCGCCGGGCCCGGCGTCTTCAACGGTGCGGCCCTCCTCCCTCCCCCGCCCCAGCCGCCCGCCGAGCGGCCTCGCCCTTCCGTCGGCAGGCGCCTTCTACGGCACGCTCGAGCTGATCGGCACCGGCGAGCCGAAGATCCGTGCGGCGCTCACCTCGCTCAACGCGGCCGCCTTCGACGGCTCCGCCCTCGTCTTCATGCTGCTCCGCGTCGCGGCGAGGGCGGCGCGTGTCGGGCTCGCCGCACCGTGCCTCGCTTGGGCCGCGCTGTGCGCGCCGCTGTGTGTGGCTCTGTGGCGGCTGCTGCCGGCGCACGGCCCGCCGCTCCGGCAGAGGTCGAGGACACGTCCGCGACACGTCCGGGGATGAGCCGCAGGCGCACGGCTCGCTGCTCGCTCAGCCGGCGGCCGCCGCGTCGGAGCAGGTCGGGATGCTGCAGGTGGCGGAACAGAGAGGCGAGGCCGTCCTCCTGCAGCCGTTGCCTGGACCCTTGCGTTTGCCTGCAGGCGGCGGTAGAGGGGGAGAGCAAGAGCGAGGTGGGGGAGGATGCGGGTGACGAGTCGGAGACCAAGAGCGACGTCGCTTTGCCGCTCAGCGCGCGGTGGAAGCGGGAGGAGGAGGCGGCGCGCTTGCGCAAGCTGGCCGTCGAGGTTGGCCTGTACGGAGGTGCGTAGAGAGGCCGTAGCAGGCTGCCTCAAAGGAAGTGGTTGCCGTCGAGGTGAGCGGCGGCGAGGTCGGGATGGGCGCGGTGCTGCTCTCGGCGAGCAATTGCTTGCTGGTGCTCTACATGGCGCCGCGCCGCCTCGCCTCCCGCCGCCACTTGGGCGACGGCTCACCGACGTGTCTCTGGACTCGTGTCGGTAGGCGGTGTACCACCTGGTCTCCAACTTTTACCTGGAGACGCAGATCGACCAGCTCGAGGAGCTCTTCGGCGAGCCGCACGCCGAGCCGGCTCTCCCCTCCAGGACGCGTCCCTGACCCTTCTCGGAGCTTTCCCCGCAGGAGCGGGGCACGCCGAGTGGCTCTCCTCCGCCTTCAACTTCGCCTTCCCGCTCGGAGGCCTGCTCGCTTCGGTGCCTGTCGCCAGCCTGCTCGAGCGCGCGGGCGAGGCCGAGTACTTTGGCATTGCGACGCTTCTCGCAAACACCTTCTCGCTCTGCTCCCTCTCCTCCTCGCGGCAGCCGCAGCTCGCCGCCGCGCTGCTCTTCGGGCCGGTGCGCTGCCTCACCTGGGCGTGCTACTTCCAGTTCCTCTCCACCGAGTCGCGCTACCCGCCCGGCCTCTCCGCGCGCGCGATGGGCTACAACAACGTCGTCATCGCCATCGTGGGCGCCGCCGGCCCGTACACGCTCGCCTACCTCGTCAACGAGCGGGCGCTGCTCGGCGGCGCCTCGATGGGTATGGGCAAGGGGCGGGGCGACAGCCGCTACCTGCAGGCCAAGCTCTTCCTCCAGCTCTGCAACACGCTCATTGCCATCTTCCCGTGCCTGCTGTGGCGCGAGCGGCGCCGGAAGCAGGCGGGGGCTGCACACTCGGGCTGAGAGAGAGAGAGCGTGTGTGAGTTTTGCGACGATACTCTCTCACGTCTCACTCTTGTCGGGCCGTATACGTGTCGTGTTCGGAGTTCGCATTATTTTCGGCTCCTTATCGCGTTTTAGAGATCACCTTGATGCATGTGTCGTATATATGATATTTTGCGCGTGATATATATGGGAAATACGCGCATTACAATTGCGACGGTGTATATCATTCACTTTATATGCCACCGTTGCATATCCGGATATGCACAAAACGGTGGCACATAGTTTTGCGACGGTGTTATCATTCACTTTATGCCACCGTTGCATATCCGGATATGCAATGCGACGGTGTATCATTCAGTTTATGCCCCCCCGGCGTACCCGTGGATTCCGCATCGAATCGATATCTATGACGCATAGGCTTTTGCCCAGCTGAGGGGGTCTGAGTTTGCCCAAAGGCACCTCCAAAATCGAAATCGCGTCCTCTGGCTCAGCGCTTGGCGTGCGTCGATTTGCACGTCATGGTCGGCACCCCCTCGTTCATGACCTACAGCGTCCCCGCGAGCAGGAGGCCCCCAGCTCGAAACCTGGGCGACCCTTATATTTGTTTGATCACCCCGGAGCGGGCTCAATTCTGCTCTAGGTGCTTCCTACGAATTCTCACCCAATTATTTCAGCCAGGCGGCCCGTGCTCTGGTCGCTCTCGTCATGCGAGTGATTTCGAGCCTCCAGGATGCTCCGGCATCTTACTTGAAAAAACCATCTAGAGATT